ATTGGACGTCTGTGTATAAGACTGCATTTTGACGCTGCCTTTCGCGGACTTCCTTCTGGCGTTCTGTCAGATGCTGAGATTCATTATGCAAGGGTGAGGATGAATCAATTGGCTCGAATTGTATTTGAGAGTTATGATGTCGGCGGCGCGGTGTGCTCATTCGTTTTGTTGACTTTGCGTGATGGAACTCTGGTGTCGATTCTAGGCGTCGTCTCCTGGTCATTGGCCTTCTAGATGCAGACAATCTCGAGGCTGACGCTACAATGTTGGGATCAGAATGCGATCTTGTTGGGGATAGAGCATCCGAGCTGGGGTCGGCTGATGGGCCTCCCTTGGCAGTCAGTATTCCGATGCCAGTACTTCTGCTGGCACCTGGAACAACAATATCAACCTTAGATCGCACAGAAGAAATGATCGCCATGAGACTGTCTGAACATTGGATATCTTCATCACCCTTCATGATTGCATTCCACATCACGCATGTTCTATTCACGATAGTCGCATGTGTACTTTTGAAGGCAGCCGTTAGGACTGGCTCAATAACGTCCAAACTTCTTCTGTTCGGCCGTTCTTGAGCAGCGAGATTCGAGCAAACATGGTCCCAGATAGTAGCAACCTTTGAAAGAGAAGGTCAGTGAAAAATGGATAATCTGCGGGACTTTTTTCAGGAATCAAACTCACACACGTGAACAAAGAAGACTCATGCTTCTCTTGAATATGAGTCTTTTCGTTCTGAAGCCATACGCCGAGTCCGGTTTGCAGTTTGCTTAACACCTCTATTCCGAAGAGGGGCCAGTTTTTTACCAAGAATGTATCCACGGCCTCGAGCAATGGCACAGCACGCACATTCCAATCTGTGTCCAATTGCTGGTCATACAAAGCTGCCAAAAAGTGATTTCCAAGTTTGTATAGATGATCGAGTGGGTCGAATAACGTCATTTTGGGCAGAGTTGGAGGCGCTCCCCAGAGCCTTGACCGAGCAGATTCCACGGCTTGTTTGTCTCGAGGCAGTTTCGCATAATTGAAGAGAGAGGTGACAGCTTGGATGATCAAAGGAGATAGGCCTTCAGTTGCCGCACCCGGCATGTCTAATATAGCTTTGGCTAAAGGTTCGATGACGACTAGAGAACAGCCAGCATCGCCAAAATCACTTGAGACTTGTGTAGCAACGGTTTCAAAGAAGGGAGTCCACTGTCGAGGAGGCAAATTTGGGTGAGAGCTGAGACCACGTTCTATTAGAGACACAATTTCTCGGAACTCCGGGCCGTTCATTTTATCTGGAACTGGGATACACCCAGCGGTAAGAACTGAACGCTTGTCAAGGCACGCTTTAGCACAATCTGCAGCCAGCAACCATGGCCCATATGGCGACAAAGAGTTGCGAGGTAACAGCTGCAGCAGCTCTTTTGCCAAGTCGAAACGTCCTTTGACACTTCTGCCTTTCAAAAACGGCTCGAAAATTGACTGGAAAAACCTAGCCAAGGCATCGTCATCGCTGCCGCCAACAGGGACAGCAGCAAGCATGACGAACAAGTGATGCAGAGGCATACGTACAACCCCTCTAGGCTTATCCGATCGGTCTAATCGCTGTGATGGCGTAGCAACTGGCTCAAATGTGTTCAGAACAGTCATAGAGAGTCTTTTCTCAGTAAATGGGAGAAGTCCTAGTCCATCGATGAGAATTTGTACAAAATTAGAGACCCCAGAGAGAAATTTTGAGTTCGACGAAGTAGATTCGGGCTCAGCATTCTCCGCCGTAAAGACTGTAGAAAGTAAACCGAACGTACAGCCAACAAATTTGGCCGTATCCTCGGAAACCTTGATATCTTTTGCAGAGGCAGCTGCAACAGACCCCACAAGTGCCTGCCACAATCGGTAGATCAAGCTGTCTTTATTCGCAAGATCAATGAATTTTTTTTGAATGACAGGTCCCACCAATTGCAACACTTTGTCACAATTCCTTCTAACCCACTTCGAATCAATGGCAGGGAGTTCGTCCGGTTTGACTGGAGGCAGATCAACGATGCGGTCTTGCCTCCATATTCGTGGTGTGACAACATCCAGAAGACCAACAAGTAATCTAGCTGCTTGCATAATGCCATCTCCAGGGACGTCAGGCATACCATCCAGGCTGATGAGTTGGCTTATGATAGGTTGCACGGCAACATCCCACAAGACATCCGTATCGTATTTGTCACTACCGGGAGTAAAGGCGTAGTAGTATAGGTTGCATATACCACCAATTACCACCCTGCGCAGTTTCAAGGCCTCTTCTGGCTGTTTCGCGCTCGATTTTCTGCGAAGTTGGCTGAGAAGAGGCTGACATAACGTCGCAATGCACTTGGGGCTGACTCTGTTGTCCGAAAGCGAGAGATAGAGGTATCTGTTCCAAGCAAAGTTGGCTTCTTGTTTAGTGGAGTTGTCCGTCATGTTGAAGGCAGACTGCACCAGGGTCAACCAAGGTCCATAGTGCTGCCATCTATCTAGGGGACAACGAAGAAATAGGATGACAACGCTCCATATTTGGGGGACGAAGTGGCAACAATGTTTTTCCTTGACCATCGCCTGCAGCCTCTTGATATAGAAGTCGATGTATGTTTCGGTATCGTTGGCTGCTTGAAATAGTTCGCTCGCTTTTCGAAGTAATTGTTTTTCGGACCGCAACGCAAAACCCGCCTCCGACCCCAAGCTAATGGCTTGTGAGCGAATGTCTTTGACAGAACTGAGCATGTCAGTGAACATATCCTTGAGCCAATCAAGGTGGGCAGCCATGTGGTTTCTGGACTGTTTGATGAGTCGCTTGTATATGTGTAGGCGGCTCATTATGATGCTTTTCCCCTTCAAGTGGTGTTCAATCTTGTGCAAAGCTGCTATAAGACGGCCAACTCTCTCTGAGGTCATGACCTTGGCAGAAAAGTTCTGAAATGCCATCACTTGCATAAGATGTCGTATCACATCCTTGGGCATCGCCTCATCTTCAAACGAGCGGATGGACTGCTCGACGACGAAAACGCTGAAATCAGAGGTCAGGGTAGACGCAATGGCCGGGAAGTGAAGAAAGGTGGCAAGTAGTGTGAGAGAATGATTGATCAGAGACGTGTCTAGGTTTCCATGGTCCGACTTTGCCGTCATATCGCGCTGAACAAATTGCATAAATAGGCTCATCTTGTTTTGCAAGGCGACTCGATCCGGAAGGTTGTTGGAGGCCTTGAGGGCTCTGGAAAGCATCATATATGCATCCAGCTTGGAGTCCCGGTCTGCTCCAGCCAGCTGCTTGATAGTCGAGTCCAGCATTTCAATTATATTAAGCGGAGAGGGACCATCGAGCTCGTTCGTAAAGCATGAAGCTAAAGGATTCGGGGACGAGGAAGGCTTAAGGATGCTCTTGACGGGTTTAAAGCGTGTTGCAGACGACGGAGCTGAAAATGGCGAAGATTTGACGGCCTTGAGACCTTCGGGATATTGGGGAGCCTCCCGATAGTCTGTGTGAGAGGACCACTCCACCTTCTTCCGAGCACGACTGGAGCTGGGGTTGGATCCTGTAGCAACAGGTGAGGTGAAGGAGTGGGCATTCGGAGGGGTATGAAGACTCAATATTGGGTCAAAGGCCGAGGCTCGCCCCAGAACGATGGATTTGAGAGAGACGTCGACTTCGTGGCTAGCTTCACGAGGAGGAGTTGGCGGCCGAGCTGGCAGTGCGATGAGAATATTTGAGGAAGAGGCCGAGGCTACTGAAGATGCCATGGCTGCTGCCAGGCAGCACCGGCGATCTAGAGCGCAGAGAGTTGGCCAGCGAGCTCCCACAATGCCATGCAAGAGGGACTGTAAGAAGGTGGTGGAGGTTGCGTAGCCAATGTACTGGCCAAAGAATTGACGCCGCCGTATCAACGACGACTAATCAGTTTTGCAGCAAGTCAGGGTTTCACTGCACGTCGAAGCACTTTTCTCAAGTAGCCAAACTGGACGCGAGATGCGAGGCGTGGAATCGGGGCTTGGAATAGGGTTGAGATGAAATGTTGAAGGACGACATATGTCGAAGTCATGGCCAAATTGAGATGGGCAGAAACGAAATCAATTAATGAATTGCACCTGCCCCATGTCCCCACGTCCCTAGCTGCTGGACTTGGAGGCTGGCTGGCCAGCTTGCCTTTTCAATAAACGCGACCACGCTTCACGAAAACGCGTGCAAGAAGCTGCCAGTGCGCGTGGGTAACACGGCACCGCGGACAATGACTAAGCGACAGTGCTCCACCCAACCTCCCTGGCCTGTATGGAGATCGTCGTGCACCAAGCATCGTGGGTAGCACCTGCTCACATCCGCTGAAACCTTTAATCTCCGTATATACAGACTTCTAAGTTTTTCAAACTTCTGTTACGACTTCTTCTTCTTTATCATACTTACCTGGCACCCCCGCCCGCATTCTAAAGCTGGTACGAACATAACTACCAGTTCCATTATCACCCTCCAGACGTTTTTTGCAACAGGTTGATCCTTGCCAGCGCTGGGTTGAGTTCTTGCTTTTTTATCCAAGCACACCGAAAGAACGTCGAGACCAGTTGGCCTGCCTGCCTGACTTCTGCTCAACTGCCGCCCAGTGCCCCGTTCAAGGTGGAGGCGTCGGCTTATCTTCGCTGCTGAGCAAAGACCCTCCGTCGTCGTCCTAACCCGTCTCCCCACCCACCTGCCACAGCTCTCTCAAGGTCAGCTTGTACGACATGTCCCAAGCTTCATGATCTACCTAGTACAACGAACTCAGAGCTGTGTGCTGGTACTTGTACGGAAACGTAATAAAGTACACAATCCATACGGGTACTGCGGTGATAAAATCTCTCTATCAGGTGCTTTGTCCAGGGCTGAGAACTTGGAACCCTAGAGCCACAACGCCGTGCTGAATTCGGTGCACTTCGGCCCTTCGGTCCGCTGGGCAGCATATGCCAACGCTACTTGTTGTCGTTTCGTTGTCTGAATTCTGTCAATTGAAGCCTGTTTCGGGTTCAAAATGGCTACGATTGCAAAGGGAGCTGCCACTGGACCGGGTGAGTCACCCTGGGTTCTGTCATCTAGTCGCGCCAACAGCGCAGTTCAAGCTAATAGATATGTGACCTTAGCAAAGCTTCAAGCCGTGGCAGATCTGGTCAATAGGCTCTGCGATGATCTCGAAAACATCTCACTGTTACCTAAAGGTACTCTCCAGCCCTGCAGGCGACATTGGTGGTCTCGAAGCCTAACATTTTTGCCAAAGACCGCAATGATGCCTTAGAAGAGCTTAAAATATACGGGAGGGACCCCAAGTACGCAGATCCCATCTTCACCAAAGATGTTTGTAGTCTTCTTCGCTGCACCTATTGCTATAATCACTGACTCTAACACTTCCCAAGGGATTTACCATGCTTTTAAGGTATTCATTTCAGAACCCCCCAGATGACACCTCACGAGCCGCCCTGCGAGTAGTAGCCAATGCGATGCTTTTGAAACCCGAGACACGTCAGATGTTTGTAGATCAAGGGTATCCTGCTCAGGCTTGTGATCGGCTCAGGGGGGGAAATTGGGATGACGAGTTCCTTCTTTCGCGGGCACTGTTTCTTTCAACCTACGGCACCAATATCGATCTGCCAGAATTGATCGATAGCCACGAACTAGCGCAGCACCTCATCAACAATTTAAGACGCCATGTAAAGATCCTTTCAGATAAGCAGAAGGAAAAGCTGGACCCAATGGAGGATATGGCACTTGGAGAGACGTTGAAACTGATGTTCAATGTGACACACTTTTCAAAGACACATGTGTCTTCGTTTGCTCCGGCAGTGCCACTAATCGTGGCACTGATTTTAAAACATGAAATACCCGAACCCAAGCCCTTGGATCCCCCCTTTGGTCCTCTTATTAACTCGCTTCTCAACCTCGATCTTCGCATTGAGCTGAGCCGATTGGCTCTGTACCCCGAGAATGAGCCACACAAGTTAACATCAAGGCTTGTGGACTTGCTCGATCAGGGCATAAGAGCGTACAGTGGCAATGACCTCGAAACTGTTGTCACACCGGTGGTCAGCCTACTTGCTAGGTTGTACGAAAACGCTCCACAGCCAGTCCAGCAAAAGCTGCGCGAGTGTCTTCTACCAACCGCAGAGGATCGGCAAGGCGTGCTGGGCCGCTCCGACTCTCTCCCATCACACTTGCTGAAGAATTCAACAAATCCCACAGCTCCGGCCTTGCGAGACGCTATTTCTCATCTTCTATTCGATATTTCAGACAAGGACGCGTCGAAATTTGTAGAAAACGTGGGTTATGGCTTTGCATCTGGCTTCCTGTTTCAGAACAACGTGCCCGTACCTGCATCATCTGCCGCCACTTTCAGGAAAGGCGACGGTTTCGGGGCCCAAAAACTCGTCAACCCTATTACCGGGCAGTTTCTGGACAGGGAGAAGATTGCCGATGCGCCAGAGATGACAGATGAGGAAAAGGAGCGTGAGGCAGAGCGCCTATTTGTTTTGTTTGAACGGTCAGTGCTTCATTTTGCGTTTGATTTGGGTCAAAATAACTTAAGGCTGACGTGGTTCCAGGCTGAAAAAGACTGGCGTCGTCAATATTCAAAATCCTGTCGAGAAGGCCGTTCAGGAGGGTAGATTTGAAGAGTTATCTGATGATTGTGTCGAGGAATTGGATTGAGTGACTAACCAAGTAGCGTCTCGAAATAAGCGTATCTTTGCAAAGCATATATAGCGGTAGAGCTGTCACCTAGCCCGAGGCAGGAGGAGAAAGGCGTACGGTTTGAAAGCATTTCCAGACATTTTGTATAGCAAGGCTCTGATACAGGCTGGCTGACTTGTTCACGGGTGAGTAAATAATATCGTCGTCGTACCTCATCAGCATTTATCTTGCTCGAAAATTTTAAAGGAACCTCATTACATACAGCACAGCGATCCGCATCATAAAGTAATAGCCAGTTGTCACGCGAGTGTTATTCTTATACATGTGTGTGAATTTACTAGAGTATAGTCCTTTCCGGGTTACTAGTGCGGCGACCAAACAGTTCATGTTTTCTGCCCTCTTATTTCCCGCTTGGTTTCCCAGCAAGTTGTATCAGTTGTCGGAAACAACTAGGCGTTATTGTTAACAAAAGAAATAGCACCGATTACGGCACTAGCAAGAGGAAATAAACTTCGAGCAAAATTCATCCACGCCCAATCGTCCAGCAGGCTGTTGACCTGGGGATCACTGCCTGGAGTCCCATCTTTGGCTGCCTTTTGCAACGAAGCATTAGTCCTCGTCATGACAGCCAGAGTGAACGGCACGATAGCCAACATGCTGCCAGCTGCAGCTGCAAACCCAACCCATTTTCCACCGTGGCTCTGGACATCATAGGCGGCGTATCCATATGCGAGAGCAACTCCAACGGCAACTTTAGGCATGAGGGCTGCTCCACGTTTGTACACGTCTGCCCATGCCGGGGCGGTAGACTCGGGTGATACTTTGAGTACAGGTATGACAATGAGCGAGAGTGATGCGATAGCGCCTGGTAGGTGCGGCAAACTTATCAGTTAATGTGCTTGACGATGTGCCAGTATGGCTTGTTCACGAACCAGCTGCCCATGCAGAACCGACGATGCCAGTTGCGACCGCAACCAGTGGTGGACCTGAGATTTGCATTTTCTGGGGAAATTTCTATATAGGCGAAGTGATAGATGGTGTTCGATAGATGGTCTTGCTGAAGAAGCACAGGCGACGATGCTTATATGCTGTTCTTATTAGGGCCACCAGGACTGTGAGGAATACTCGGGAACCTCGGACAAGACGCCGCATCATCCCCTACGTAATAACTAGTACCTTGGGTAAGTATCTACCTAGGTAGGTAACTCATTGGCACGACAAGGTTTCAGCCCATTTTTTGTGGAGCTCAATGCAGAATCCTAATCCTTGGTTGAATGTTGATACTGTCTGGTATGTATACACAATACTAGTAGTAATAACATGACGACTTCTGAATACGACCGCCCAACAGATTTGATATACTAGTAAAGATGCGGGAATTTCAGCGCACTACTATTCTGCGTGGAGTGATTATTCCCATCATCAGATGATAGAATTCAACTGTGTTCTACTACGTATATAGTCCAATGAAATGTGCAGCCCAACCCTACATAGACTTTCTCGTTGCCGCTTTCGCCAAATCCCAGTTACGACATCGGCCGTTTAGCCACATAGCCGTACAGAGTCTCAGTCAGTGACTGATCCTGCTTATCAACCTCGTCCCAAGCCTTAACAAAATACATATTCGCCTTGGCGAGAACCCTCTGGCTTGGCGTATTGTTGTCAAGCGTCACAGCAACAATGCATTCCCTCACTTTACCATCGTCTCCCTCCACCGCTGTGCTCTTCTCTACCCTTACGTCGACATCAGCGCGTGGAAGCGCCCACCAGGCTTTCAAAAACGCATGCACTAGTTCCGTAGCATACCCTTTGCCCCAAAACTCCTTACGAAGCATGTACCCGATCACAGGCCATCCCAGCTCTCCCACCAGCATATGGCTACCTGCGATCCCTATCATCTCTCCTGTGTCAGCCAGGCAAACAATGTATTCGTACTTGGCATCGCCTTCTGGTGACAGCCTCTGCTTCAACTTCTCCCTAGACCAGTCGATATCCGGATCTGGTTTTCCCTGCCCAGTCCATTTCATAACCTCCGGTTGGAGGCGCAGAGCATGCCATCCCTCCAAATCGCTTTCCAACGTCGAGCGTAGAACCAGTCGCTCAGTCCGAATCTCTGGACGAGTGTCCAAGGGTGGAAGAGGAGAAGATGGGAGGGTCGTCTTGACCATTACCCACTCCAAAGGAGAAGACTTCATCATGTTGAGTTGCCGTCTATCGATGGTTGTCGCTTGAATAGGGCCAGTTAAACTCGGCAATTAGGAGAATAATGTCTTATCCGATAAGGTCCTCCGAATAGAAATAAGCTCCGTATGCCTCTGTTGCCATATATATTCGTTGCTCTGGAGAGAATTGTGCTAAATTTCTATAGCATGAGTCACAGAAGGCGTCGCCGAGATTTACTTCCACTGTGGGTACCGTACACGATGCCACCGAACTGCGGAACCTACCTGCTAGGCAGGTACCTAGATATTATTTGATATTTGCAGCAGAGTCTCGGAAAAAGTCAGCTGCTCTGGATCGGCAATCGCCGGTCTTGGGCGTAAGTTGTTGGGTAGCTCTGTCCGGAGTTCACCCAAGGCAAAAAAACGTATGCCCATGCCCAATTCTGATCAGTGATCCCCTTGACACTCCAGAATGTGCCGTTGTTGTAATATATGCCACTTGAACACGCACGTGCCTATACTGCACCAGGCAGCAGTAGTCTTCACGAATCCAACTGGGCTTGACATGATGACAGAAAGCTGCTGAGTCATCGTCTGGGCTTGTTCGGGCCGTTGGCGACTCCGGAAGGTAAAATTCCAGAGCAATGCAATCGTGGCAACCGCCGTCACGTCGTCCTACAGTCATTCAATCACGAACTCCAATCCGGTACATCTTGTGCAATGGTGGCTTCACAAAAGCAGGAGCAGGCTTGACGTAAAATGTGCATTCCCTTTTAGACTCCAGCTACCGATGTGGCATCGAATTGTGTCACTCTCTCAATCACTATCACGTAACATGTAAGAGTTTTGGTTCATTCGTTGCCTGCTATTTATCAGGCAAATGCAGTTGATATTTCCATGATCCGTAGTAAACACCCGCAGAACCTTGCCCAACCACCCCCAGAAACCAGAAACACTCTAAGCGAAGGTGGAAGGTCGCTTTGCGCTGAACACCTTCGAGTTGCTAATCTTGGAAATACGATGAGGCAGAGGGAAGGTCAGGCCCTTCTGGAGGAGCTGCTTGATGTACGGGCGCTTGACGTCTTCGGTCTTCTCGATCTCAACAACGCGAAGGATCTAATGGAAGAAGTCAGCACTTTTCATCACCAGGATCCGATGAAGCATTTGGATTAACATGGTGCACGTACGTGGATCGACCTGAAACGAGCGCGATGGCGGGCAGCCATGTCGGAGTAAAGGGCCTCGACGGCATCGGTGCGGGACATTTCACGGTACTCCTTGTACATATTGTGTGTACCGGAGCGCGAGTCGTAACGCAGCCAGATGCCGAAGTTCTTGACCTTCTGGGGGTGCTTCTCGTGGATCTATACCCCTAATTGTGAGCCTCAAAGTTTTGACAGATAGCAAGTCTACACAACTTGGGACGGGGTGGTCGGGTATATTCTTACAGCCTTGACGCTGACAATCTCACCAGTAGCCTTCTTGACCTTTCGGAGACCTCGCAAGAAGTACCAGAATCGGGACTTGGCGACCGTCTCGTTGGGGGCAAAGATGGTCATGCGGTACATGTCCGGGGTTGGGTTGGCCTCGGTAGGCAGATGGCGCCCGATGACCTCGTATTCCTGAAGACGACCTATGTAAAAGAAAAAAAGGCGTTAGTTTGCCGGTTCTGTGTAGGTGTTCGTCTATTACAAGCCCGTGGGATTTTGTCGTCGAGATAGGGGGTGAAACCATTCGTCGGTTTTTGGTTGCAGGTCGTGCGTAGTATCGAAGCTGGAAAGGAAATCTGTCGAGCCGTTGAAATTGCGCAAAGTTGTTGCAAACAGCGCTACTAGCTTAACAAAAGAGTTGTCGGCCCGGTTCAAAGTCAGGAGTCCTTTCGGTAGGAAACTCAACATCGTCAAACATCATGGAATTCTCTTGTTGGTGGTGAATATGCTGTGGTTGGTGGTCCCTTGATATTTTCCAACTTCATGCGACGCAATCCCAGACACAGACAAAAACAAATCAGGAGAACGGCGCTTACCCATCTGTATTATATGTTAGTATATGAGTAGAATTGGAATGATATAATATTGACCAACTTACAGTGACGGTGGTCAATGTCTCCGACAACTGGCGAAATTTGGTGATTGTCAAAGTTGGAAGAGATACAGCGATAATTTTTGTGTGCGGTTGGTGGGGAGGGCACGCAGGACGAGAGCCTGCAGGGCTTAAGCTTCCCCAGCGATTGGCTGAATTACAAAACCAAGGTCCACAGGTGAGTAGTTGTGCTCACGTGATGAGCCACAATAAGCGAAAAGCGCCAATGTAAAGCGCAACCAATTAAAACAACTGTTTCTTTTAAGCGGAGCCAGGGTACGTACCACACTGTGAGGTTGACCAAACCTCCCAAAGTTTGCCTGGAACGGTTGGCAGATCAGTGGCTCATTGAGTTTTGGCCCATATGGGAAGTGATTGAGGAGCATCAAAGTCAACGTTTCTCGATTCTTGTTCTCATAAGGCAACTATTAGAACTCCTAATTACGCAAACGGGCTCTCATTTAACATGAACGAATTATTTGAGGACTTTGCCAAAGCGTACGCTTTGCGAAATGGATACCTGCTAGCACAGACAATCTCACCAGTGCCGCCTCCCAATGAGCCGCACAGGCTGAAACGCATATGGCAGAGCACGAATTCCCATAGCGCCAAAGGAGACATTAAGCACTTTATTAAGTCACAGACATCTTCTCGAAAGACTATAAGCCATGACGAGGTCAACGGATGGGTTGAAGTATATGTGGCGTACTGGAACGCAATAGGTGAGATTCTTGCTGGGGAGAGCGGCAAGGTGAGTTGCTTTCATAATATGTGTACATAGAAATGCATCTGGACTAACGCCTATCGCTCAAGTCCTCTTGGACTAAAGTCTATGAGGCGTGGAAAGAGCTTACCTCCATGTTAATTCGAGGGTACAATAACTCTGGCTTTGAAGCATGGACAATTCCCACCCTCTACGTCGTTGGGAAGTATTTGAGATTGTTTGCTATCAAGTCCGATGACGAGAGAAGCCGGTCTTCCACCGACAACTCCGGAACTGCATCGCTGATGCAGGACGACTTTGACCCGGAACTAGAGAAACAGGGTCAGCTTAGAGACTGCGAGCAGCATCTAAAGCGCATATTTACGCTGTGCCTCAATGACAGGTGAGACGTCCCTGACATGAAGTATTTAATATAAGACTAATCATGCACTGATATAGAGCACCGATAGAAGAATCTCGAAAATGGGGGATATATTTTGTTATTAATTTGTTGTTCAAGACATACTTCAAGCTCAACAGTGCGTCATTATCAAGAACAATTTTGAAGACGTTGGCCGTCTATAACGACAAGGGAGACATGCCACCTTTAGAGGCATTTCCAAGGGCTCAAAGGGTTACCTTCAAGTATTATGAAGGTGTTTTGTTCTTTCTCGAGGAGAACTATGTTCAGGTATCTCACCCGCTCAATATTTTTGAGTAAAGTACTAAAATCATCCCAAACAGGCAGAAAAGCACCTTATTGAGGCATGGCAATTGTGCCACAAGGATGCCAAGAGCAACGCAGAGTATGTTAAAAATGGCAAACGCCACGCTCGTAAGAACGGCAACTAACAGGGACAGGCGCATCTTGACATATCTCATCCCCTGCCGACTGCTAACTAGCCATGTCCTCCCTACCAAAGCACTCCTTCAACCGTATCCTCGATTGCAGGAACTGCTTCTACCACTTGCGGAGTGCATTAAGCGAGGCGATTTGCATAATTTCGACCTAGCCCTACAAAAGGGTGAAGACGAATTTGTCAAGAAACGTATATATTTGACCCTAGAGCGCGGCCGTGATATTGCTCTGCGCAACCTCCTACGCAAGGTTTTCATCGCCGGTGGATTTGACGAACCCAAAGAGGGCGAAACGACCCCTGTGCGCAGAACTCGAGTACCAGTCTCAGAATTCCGAGCCGCAATCTGCATGGGAAGTGGTGGGGAACTCGTCGATACAGATGAAGTCGAGTGCCTGTTGGCCAACATGATCTACAAGGTAGGCCTTCCCGGAGACTGTACAATCTACCTGAACCACTCCAAATGCTTGCTATCATTTCTTATTTTGTCGGTGCCACACAAGCGTCCATCTGCCATTCTATCAGACTGTGCCGGGTGCCTCAACCTAAGGGTCCAAGGCACCAATGAGCTTGCGTGTGGTCCACGTCAACCATCTACCGTACCAGGAGCAGTTGCTAATTTGCATTACGATAGGATCTAATGAAGGGATATATTGCTCGAGAAAGAGGAATTGTGGTCTTATCGAAGAAGGGCGCCTTCCCGGGAACAGGCGTATGATTTGGGGCTCCATGGCTACGATAAGAATTTCGAAACTGTTTGGCGGCCTTGATGAAGAGAAGCCAGGCAAGGTCTGATACACAATATTCTTGACAGCCTCGCAATCAAATGGGAATATGGGCAATGGTCCACGTAGTTTCCTGGCTCAAATCGATGCCTTGGGATAGAAAGTAGGGCTACCAGCAACTGATTGGCACAAAAACTTTCGGCGCTATGGCACACATTGTTTTCTTCATCACAAGGCGCGGTATCAAACAGGGATCAGTTCGATAGGATACTGGTTTTACGCCGAAGTGCTACCCAAGGCACATCGTGCAACGCCGGAAGAGCTGCCCCCAGAACCCCTAAACAGGGATAATTTTGCCGCGCTGATGTGAGTCATGGTTGCCACGCCAGATCTTGTCAGCACGGGAAATTTGAGACTTTTGGCATGTAAAGCGTCACGTAGACTCAATTAGCGTCCATTTAGATGCACATGCCTACCGTGATCATTCGTGTCTCCAAGGAGGTAATTTTCGAATATGGGCAAATGTTATTAGTTAAAGATGTGTATGTCCTCAATCTCATATCTGCGAAATAAAACGCAGAAAGGGCGTTTAGAAGGTGATCCTACATAAAGTGGACGCAAATGACGCAAAGGCCATAGAAGCATCCCCAAAAGACTTTGCTGTTTTATACATGAAAATTTAACAGGACATGAACTTTTGTGTTCTCAAAGAAGTGAAAATACCATACACCCTCATAGATCGAGAAGAGTAATTGTACATGACCTCCGGTAAGTGTGAAGGCTAGGAAAGAGACATAATGGGAAACGACGCCCGACTAACTCACTGTGCAGAAACACGTCAAAATCTTGTGGCAAGGATTAGAAAAGAAACGTTCCGAACCGTCAACGCCAAGTTTAAGCCGTAGATTGTTGCATTTCACCACTTTTAATGACCTAGCAAACTGGCTCCATGTGTGCGAATATTGGAATAAGGGGAAACGTATCACGTCATTTGAGTCGGGATACCGTGAGACTGATCCTTGGGCCCTTAATATTGGATCTAGCGGCCAGATCTCGGTGTACCTCTGAAAAAACGCCGTGTTAGCGTGGTTTTGACAAGGCGATGAAGTCAGATTTTCCTCTTACTGTGCAGATGAGATATCATCAACATGATTGCACAAGGCAACAAACAGGTCAAAGAACAGCTGGGTGCCGCCATTATACATTTCGAGTTGCATAGTCCCGCTACGCTTAAAAGTGCCACGAGAGCGAATAATGAGAGCCAAGTAGTGAGCTCGCAATTTAGAATCGCTGTCAGGTGTGTTGGCATACGCATAACGTGCAGACGCCAAGATGGTGCTGCACTGGATGCCGGATTCTATACATCTTTGGTCAGATATGACGTGGTAAGAGCCCAGGAACAGAGTTGTCGTGAAACAGATGTCCAAAAAGAAAAGAAAAAACTTACGCAAGCCTTGCTTCCGGAGAGCGAGCTTCTTGAGCTCCTCTAGTCCGTATTTCTCAGCTGCACAATAGATGACAGTGTCTTTGAGTAAGTCACCGTCAACTCCGCGATGATAGAAAGTGCTTTCAACTGCTCGCTCTGAATCGGAGGGTTCAAGTTCCCAAGAGTTGCGCCTTTTGTTGTGCATGAGCCGTGGGAAATAATCTCCCTTGTACAGGTATTCCAACACTGAGCTGAAAATCTCCGGCTCTTCATCAGGAAGGGCAATTTTCTTGGCAGCAGGATCCATGTATGTATTTCGTAGAGCGTTATTGAAGAAAGGACTAGAGCAGAGGACATCATCGTGGGCGGCGAACAGTCGTTGGTCGGATCCGACGACCAGCGTCACAATAGCGGACGGCATATTTCTGTGTCCACCAGTCAGCTTTTCTTGTTTCATGATGAACAAGAGGGGAGACTAGGAGAATTATGGGAGAAGAAGAGCTACGTACCCGCCCATGACTGTGTCATCACTGGCCGTGGCTGTGGAAGCCGTTGCTGGACGTCGATGACGAGACTCATGGCGTTTTTTGCTGACACCATTGTCACGGCTGAACGAAGAACTTGACTTTGACGCCTTATGACTTTTGGAAAAGCTCTTGCTGGAGGACTCGAAGCGTCTGCTGCTGCTAAACATTGTAGTAGCTTCTGTCGGGTGCACAGGAAGAGACCCTAGTTGACGCTTGCTTGGGTCTAAAGAAACAGCAATTTGACAACAGCGAAATTCACAGCGCAGTACAGAAATAAACAAGGTGGACTACAAAAAGACGTTGAAACACTGGTGACAGAGCTGATGGCGATTTGTGATGCCTGATGGTGTCAGCGAAGCCCAGAAAAAAACTTACCTAGGGCGCTAACGAGATGTCCCAAAAAATTGGTTGCTTGAGATGGGGTGAATGCCAGGCTTTTAATACTTCAGGAGAATGCTCCGTGCAACCACCAGCTGGCAGGCATCGGCGGACTCCATGTCACCGTTGCATGGCTAAGACGACTAACAAGCGGGCTAGCTCCCCTGATGTGGTCCGCCTTGCAAGGAAGCCCTCTGGTCATGGTGATAGCCTCAGGTCCTACGCGCGTCCAGTAAGAGCAAGACGTGACTCTCAGTTCGCGTCGTTTGCGCGATATCACGTGAAGCTAATTAGTTCTGTGCTAGGGGTGCCAGGGGTGTTGGAGCAAGCCATGGCCCAAGCGTTTTTTCGAGTCAGACGTAAATCAGGGCTAGGAGTCATCAAGAACACCAGAACAGCAAGGATGGCCAGGAGCTTCCAGGGGCCGGGGTCTCAGCATGATGCCTTTGCTGAAGGAGGGTATTCCAACAAACCATGGCACCGATAACGAGTCTGGCCGGGGTAGGGAGGTTGGGAGGTGAGGGCAGTGGAGCACCACAGGCAACTCTCCTCGAGGCAGCGTTCTTCAACGATAGTCAGTCTGCACCTCAGCGGATATAATAGCAATTTCCAACGTCAAAGGGTCAGAGAGATGTGCATAAGAGGCATTGCAGGTTCCCATATTCATCGATTTATGCCATTTGGAAGGCCTTTCATCTTGCCGGCAGTCTCAGTAGTTCCGAGATATTGAAGCTCTAAGCAGATCCTCACCACGCCTGGAGAAGTGAACGGACTTCGTCTTTGTCTCTGCACATGGATACCGTGCTTTTTGCCAGTGCCATGAGAGATAGCTTAGGCTTGTTCCTGGCGAGCTGGCTGGGTCGATCATCCCTGGGTGCCTTGAACTGTTGGTCGCGTCTCCACTGCGGAAGCGTTGGTTGTCGTACTGGACTAGGTGAGGTGCAACTTATTGGTCGCTTCGAAAAACCCGGTGGCGTTTATTGGAGGTGCAGGCAGCTGCTGAATGATGACGAGTCTTTGACTCTGGAGGGAGAAAAAGAAGAAGAAAAAAAACCGAAACCCGGTGTACCAGGCCTATCATGTTCCCTCGTCGGGATGGGATGTGATACCGACTTCTCTGATTCTCCTATCTTATCGAGTTCGTTTCCTCATTTCTTGTTTCTATGGCCTTCCGCGCTGCTGACAAGATGGATCTTGCAATAGCTTCTCTACCTTGTGGGCGAAACATCACATCATTGTGAAGAGCGGAATGAACTGTATGACGTTGTACTAGGAGGCCCATATCCTCGCATTGCCTTTGGAGCCTTTTTCCATGGTCCGGGGGCACTAATTCGTCTTTTCCTGCTTCGATAATGTATATTTCAGGCGGTCGTGTCCCAGAATATCCCCTTCCAATCACCTCAAGGTTCTGCCTACTATCCAGGCGGCTCCTAAGGAACGGCCACAGGTGTTTGTATGGCAACCATTTCTGCGGGTACAAAGCTGAAAGCATATCGCGTGTATTTGTAAATGGTGTCTCAAGAACAAGGGCGTTGATTGGCAAATTGGTCAGAGAAGGAGACAAAGATGCCAAGGCTGCCAGGTTTGTTGCAAAACCACAACCTATGCTCTGGCCCCAAAAAATGACCGCGGGTCTTGGTTGCTCGCCTTCCTGTGACCTGTGGTGATATTGATCAGAGATCCAGCGCAAGGCTGCTTCGGCATCCTTATTGATGCCTGTTTCAGAGGGTCGATCATGCGATGTCCAATACCCCCGGTAGCTTACGCCTACTAAGGTGTAACGGAACATGTCGTCTTCCAGTTGAAGACGGGTCAGAACCGACGAAATATCTGGTAACCGCGGAGGGAGGGACGACGCATTGCCTGCATCGCTCGTCAGGAGACAGGCTTGCCTTATTCCTGGTGTGAAAGTATGAGGAGATCAAACCTTGAAAGTATAAAATATATACGGGTATCTTGACACAGTCGCTTCTTGTAGCTGTTGCCCGAGTACCACTAGGACCGCCCCCATGGCTTACGCAAAGAGAAATCTCTGTGCCATCCAGGGATCGTATGCGCTCTTCCCGCCATTGAATAGCACGACAGTATCGAGCATAATCGGATATCTTCATTTTCCTCGCATTCGGCGGAAGATATGGATCGTAAATAATAGTGTTTTGCAACATAACCAGCATGGCACATTTCCAACACCACAAAGCAACAAGGAGCCCGGTGAAGATGGCTGGTGGCAGGAGGATAGGAGCAACATGTAACCTTCTAGTTAATAAACTATTCCGAGGTCGAGGCTGTATAATTGGCCTCTCCTGTCTGTTTCGCGTCCATCTCAAGGCCTGTAGGTCTCTTGCGAGGGGCAGGCCTCGAGACCAAAGCATCGCCATGCCACAGGTCTAGATTTGCGGCATCGCAGCGGGTCAAATTGCCGGAACAAAACCTCCAGCAGAATTTCAGGATGTAATTTGTGATTGTCGAGTCTGAAAGCAGACCGTAAGTTGAGGCAAAAACAGCCACCTCGGAGAAGAAGGCCAATCTGCAATATGTTATGGAGTACAAAGTTTAACATAAAAGTCCATCGATTGTTTCGAAGTGCATGTGAGTGGTGGGATGCCCCGCCTTGAGGCCTGATGTCACCATTACGGTAGGGTTCTAAGTTACTACATGTCGCTGTAGGCACCTATCAGCCTATACCCACGCGCTTAGGTGCCTATAACTAATACTCAGAGTGACTAGTCGATTGTTTAACCCGCTGGCTAAGTCTAGTTCAAAACATCGCTCGATCCACTGCCTGCGACGGCTTTCTAACATTCGACTCTTCTCACTTCCATTCATTGGCATCCTCCTCTTTGGGCTGCACCTAAACCTCTTAAAACTTGCGGGACATTCTGCAAGCTGCGTGAAAGTCCTCCTCCCCAACGCCACTGAAACGCTTCTGCCGCCGCCTTTCACAATGTCATCCGCACCAGACAAAGAGACCGACCACCCTCACCACATTGACATTCAAGATGATCGCGTGGCGCCACGCGAAGAAGGAGATGCAAGTCCGGGCATGCGAAACAGCAAAGGATGGGACGGAAAGCTTCGAATCTCCAAATCTGCTCTGCTGTCCAACCCCGAGGCGCTCTCTGATCCTGAGTACTCCGATGACAGCAATGTCCTACCTGGAGAAGATATTAGAGCTGACGAAGGTATATTTGCTTCCCAACCCGGATTTTGGAGCTGCAAATTAACGTATGCTTTCTAATAGATCTACTCGAAAGTGAGAGCTCCGACAGCGAGGAAATCATGTGTTCTCATTCCCGTATCGGATCCATCTCATCCCTTCGACTCGAGCGTTTCAAAAACGTCGCCCGGATATGCCTTCGGCAGAATACTATACAAGAAATCGAAGGTCTGGCCCCTCTGGCGGCCACATTGAAAGACTTGGACCTCTATGACAACCTGATTTCGCATATGCGTGGCATGGACGAACTCAAAAATCTCGTCTGCCTGGACTTGAGCTTTAACAAAATCAAGCACATCAAGAATATCAGCCACATGACGGAGCTCAAGGAATTATTCCTTGTCGCCAACAAGATCAGCAAAATTGAGGGACTTGATACGTTGCAGAAACTTACATCTCTAGAGCTTGGGTCCAACCGCATTCGTGAGATGAGGAACCTCGATAATCTCCGAAATTTGGAGGAGCTTTGGGTGGCTAAAAATAAAATCACCGACCTTACTGGTCTGGGCGGCTTGTCGAGCCTTCGTCTTCTCAGCATTCAGTCAAACAGAATCAGAGACCTCTCACCACTAAAGGAGGTGCCTCAGCTTGAAGAGCTCTACATTGCACACAACGCTTTAGAATCATTGGAGGGCATCGAAGGAAACACCAATTTAACCATACTAGACATCTCCAACAACCAAATTCGCAGTCTCAAAGGCCTGGAAGGGTTGTCCAGGCTTGAAGAAGTCTGGGCCAGCTACAACCAGATTGGGGACCTTGTAGAGGTAGAAAAGGTGTTGAAAGACAAGGAGAATCTGACCACTGTCTATTTTGAAGGGAATCCGCTTCAGCTCCGGGGACCAGCTCTATACAGAAACAAGGTCCGATTGGCTTTGCCACAAGTCAGCCAGATCGATGCTAGTAAGTTTCTCTCTTTCTCACACACACAGAGAGACATGTGGATATGCTGCTAACATTTAACTCACAGCTTTTGTTCGAGTATAAGCCTAAATGTTTCAGTAAAGTAAGGCAGTGTAATAAGCAAGGCGTTTCCGGTTTTTTTCACGATAGCGTGCACAGCGACACTAATTGTATGATATGGGTCAAGGTAGGTATTGGGAGACAGTTTGCAATACGTGGCAAAGTGCATCCCAATTCCGTTGAGCTACACGATGCCGACGGACATATGATATGATTATTTTGTGCCAGTTTATTCATGGTTTGGGTCTCTATCTTCTCGTCGCATGTGTAGACGACAGTGTTGTATAGACTTGGACTATCGGGTGCGGAGTAAACCGAGTTCTATTCTGGTTCTCTTTGGCTAAGACGGCACAAGATATGGCTTTCTACCCAAATATCCACAACTTGTCGCTTGGGAAATACTAGGGCAGCAAAGTAAGTCCTTGCTCAAAGGCTAGTTCACACTATATATATAATTGACGGCTTACATTTGTGGGCTGGTTAAACCTCAAATTGAGGTCCATCTTTGCGATGCGATCCAGGTCAGCTTGCTCAAGATCAAAATCGGTGCTTTCAATATTCTGCTCCATAACGCCAGGTCTAGAGGTCTTTGGAATCACGGCCAGTCCCCGTTGCGTCGCCCATCGCAAGAGAATCTGCGCAGGAGTCTTGCTGTGCTTGGCGGCCATGGCAGCGATGGCTTCGTGCTGCATCAGCGGAGCCACGTTCTTGGCCCGATCCATGTCGAGCTCAATGAAGCCCGTGGGCCCGAAAGACGAGTAGGCCGTCACGGCGATGCCCTCTGCCTTGGCGAGCCTGACAAGGTTATTCTGCTGCAGGTATGGGTGCAGTTCTATCTGCAGCGTGGCCGGCCGAATGCGAGCATACTTGAGCATATCGTAGAGGCCCTGCGCCTCATAGTTGGAGACGCCGATGCTTCTCGCGAGGCCTGCGTCGACGAGGCTCTCCATGGCACCCCAAGTCTCCTGGTTTGTCGCCTTGCTCCAGCGGACTTCTCCTTGGCCGTCGTAGAACCAGCCAGGGGGGTAGCGTGTGGCGGGATCAACGTACTCGAGGGCAACGGGGAAGTGAATGAGAAACAGGTCAAAGTACTCAACTTGCCAGTCTGCTAGCTGACGGCGGCAAATGGGCTCGACCTTGTCCTTTTCGTGAAATGTCTGCCACAGCTTGGAAACGATGAAGAGTTCCTCTCTCTTGACGAGGCCGTCACGGATGGCGCGGGCGATGCCAACTCCGCATTCCTTCTCATTGCCGTAGTCTGTGTACAAGGCATTTGGGTGTTAGAAGAGAGGAAGCAGACAGGCGCAGTTAATGGGGAGGTGCATGCTGCAAAGGGTGTGTTGACACGCGAATCAGACTCCCTTGGGGAGAGTTCGGTTGGTATCGGTTCTTGCTTACCGCAGGCTCCGTCAAAGAGCCGGTAACCAGCTTTGACGGCGTTGTAAACGATATCGGCGCAAGTGGCATTGTCGACTTTCCAAAGGCCGAATCCGACCTGTGGCATGTCATAGCCACTGTTAAGCTTAATAGATGGCGGCGCCATGGTTGCTCGTTTCTCACGAGTGGCAAAGAAAGCTAGGATATCAAGACAGGCACTCTTGTTAGTACCAGAGAAAGTAAATTGTGAAATATTTCTCACGCAGGGGGAGAGGAAATTAGGCAACAAATGTTTGGCTATTTGTATTTTTTTTTTTTTTTTTTTTTTTTTTTTTTTTTTTTTTTTTTTTGCACTACGAGCATCGGGAACGAAACCTGCGCGGTTCATGAGACCCTTTTCCGCCGATTGGCATGGCTATTTTGAAGGAATCAAATCCACACTGTTTAGCTTCACATTGCTAAAAACGGCACATTTCTGCACTTTTAGCCAGCCGAAAGTTACCATTGCTACCAATCAGTCATACTACTCGGCACTTTATGCGACCCACCGCAGCATGAATTGATGACTGGAGCCGCTCAGTATTTAGCCTGATATTTACATGATGCTCCAGAAGAGGCCCACACGGTTAATAAACTGCATCAGGCCCCAGGTCAACGGTCAAAAATCTACACACCTTCATTATTATCAAAACGCGAGCGGTCCCATACAGCCTCATCTTGTACATGTTTATTTCCATCACTTAGATGTTCCGTGAATAGCATGCTACTCACGTTGGTATCAAAATATCGTCTCACCTTTTTTTTTCATACGCATGCTCCATCGCAATTAAAAGGCGTATTACTCCGAGTCCCATTACATGAAATTCAACAAATGCCCCCCGTATCCACAGTATTAACAATTAACAATAAAGTGTGCAGTTTCTGCGCAAAAACGCAGAAACTCGGTGCCAGCAGCTTCTCCTGGTTCCACGGTTACTACCAGCTATCCATCATGTTCGAGTACCGACATCGACAAGCGCCCAGGCCGATGGTGACATCTGCAATTGGGTGGCGCATGTCATCTTGGCAAACGGCTTGGCCAATTGTTGAGTTGAAGAGCTGAACAATCTCCATGTCCCCTGGCCATGCCGCATACTTTACGTGATTCCTGGGAGGGTCGACGGCCGCAGTGCCTCGTTTCCTAGTATACAGCGTAGTCTCGAATTTGACGTTTTTATAAGTGCATCTCGCAGCACGATTGGTCGGGGAACCAGCATCGGATGGTGTAACAGTCTTGTTCATCAGAAACGAGAACTCGAGCCGTTCTGTGGGCTTGCGATAGTCGCGGACCTTCATACTGACGTTGGCAAAACTGGGACCAAAGGAGTTCTCGGTAGATGTGATGGTGTACGTGTACGAGTTGAGCTGTGTTATGTTCCAGTGGAAGATGACCGGACCGTCTTGCGTCATGGGGTTGCATCCCCAGGTTGTGCTTTTAGACGTGCAATTGGCATCAATGTTCTGAAGAGACGTCTGGAAAGAAAATGCGCCCACTGGGAGCGGAGGACCAGAATCATTGCCGTTGTCCTTTACTACTGGACTGCCTCGGGTAGAAACTCTGAGCCAGTGTGTTAGCTTTCATTCTTGAACCAAGGGAATAATACACAATATACATATCATGGATATATAGTCTTGTTCACTTTGGACTTACTTATTTCTTAATCCCAAAGATAGGCCAACTGCCAAGGCGGCCATAGTGACAAGCGTGATAACGCCCACAATGGCCAAGAACCGTCGAGATCGTTTCCTTTGTGCAAACCAGTGTTTCTCGTCTGCTTCCCCAGTCTCTTCAGAAGTGCTCATATCGTCTTTTAGTTCTGCGATGGTCGAGTCCGGCGTGAGAGGGGGGGACAAGTGTCCGGTGCTGGTAATGGTGACGGTGCTGGCAGACGAAGATGGCAAAAATGAACCCAACTGGGGTGGTACTATTACGCTCCGTCGAGAATATCTTTGAGGAATTCTGAGGGGTATCTTGGGAATAGCTCCGGGGTTGTAGACGGCATCATTGTATTCCGTCACGATCTGACCTTGTACCAATGGTGGCATTTTCGGCTGCGAAGCCATTGATAAACGGGAGATTGATAAACGGGAGAATGGTTCATGGGCCATTGCCACGATGTGGCTCTTGTCATCCATTTTTCGGCTCATATTTGTCAAGTGAGGAGGGCCCGGAAACCTATGCTTGTTGAAGTTTCCCACACAGAAACAAGGAGACGCAAGGCTCACAGTAGAATGCTGTTGATTGCCCCCAGTACTGACTGATATGACTTACACAAGCTAGAAGAAAACCCAACGCAACATACGGAGAAGGAGAAAGGGGGGGGCAGAACCAAGTGAAATAGAATATTACTGCGCAGAAATACAAAATGCGACACCAAGAAACACAATACTAGATCTCTACAACGGCACCAGCTATCCTGTCATTGCCCCGCCATCTATTCTCCTAGCCGGGGCAATATTTCGTTCGCGGCGGATTGAGACCAGAGACATTGTGGTGAAACCTGAAAGGGTTGATGCGAAGAAATAAAAAAAGCAAGGAAAGCAAGGGGACAAAGGCAGGTACTATCCTCGGCACACGAGACATTATGGACTATCCATTCCCAACTCCCGAGTTAGCGCAATCCCGACCACCAGGACACTGTAGAATTCCCACATGGCTTGTTGGCACTATTCAAGACGGCCAAAGATGTCGATGCAGTGGTGAGCACATGCGCTCGACGCAATCACCTCCGAGTACACCGGACAGCGCACTCTGAGCTCCTCGTTTTTCCTGACAGAAGAGGAGTCGTCGTGCGCGCGTACTCCCACGACCAAGAAAAAAGACTCTTGCAGCACTGGAGCTGTCACGCTGGATGCTGATGTCGCCCCAGGCAGTGTGCTTCATCTTCCGGTCGCATTGCTTCCTTTGTGCGCGGCCAAACATGAACAAGGTTGTTCGTAATGTGTGTATACATTTTTCCAGCGACCAAAAGACTCGATGCGTCTCGTCGCCACTGGCCATCTATGGTCTTGCGTCTATGGACTCTACTACTGACCAGATGCGGCTACGGATGTCCCATCTTCTGCCCTTCGGCCCTCAACCCCCGTATCTTGGCACAAGGAAGAAGCGCACAGGAATGTCGCGTTCCCCTGCTATCAGGGCGGCCATGAGAATGTACGTAAGTTAGTTTTTAATGGTAACCAGGTGTTGCAGCCCGAAGGGCGGGTTTCGGGGACAAGGCGGTTTGGAAGGGAGGAGTCTCAGGAGACGTTAGACCTGGTGGACTTCTCGGTGCTCCCTGATTATCTACAACATTGGATCTTTTGGGTCCATCTTGACGTCTCTTCTTCCCACAGGACGAGCTTACTAAAAATGACTGCATGCCTTATTTTATACACATGACGTATTCATTTTTTGTACACAGTCTAAGCCCTCCCAGCCACATGTATCAGGCATGCCGTAATACATCTCTATGTAGCCACAGCATCGAGTCGCTCCTCTGTCTCTTCGAATTCCTCGTCTTCACCGTCTTCCGTGGCAGTCTCCTGCTCTTGCTCCAGCTGAATCTTCCGCGGCTCCGCTTCTTCCCCTTTTTGTGTATATTCAGGAGCGGCCAGAGAGTCTCCCTTGTCCGTCCACACCGAGGCAAGCTCCAGCTCGATCTCATCGCGTCGCTTCTTCAATTCATCAACCTCAGCCAAACGCTCGCGAAGTTCCTGTACTTCCTTCTCAACTTGCATCTTCTCACGCTCCGTGCCGATTCGCTCAAACTCCCATTCATCGCCATTGTCGCCCATGCCTAACATCAGGTTAAATGTGTGGTATCTCTTCAGTGAGGCTCGGGTCGATATCGTTATAAGGGCTGCGTGGAGGAAGGACGATTAGCTTAACTTGTCCGATTATACACAGTAAGTATTTTCCAGACTTACTGATGCCCTTTTCTTTGCACGTCTCATACAAGAGACCTTCCACATCACTAGATACTGCACTGGTACCCTCATCAATAATGGCATATTGAGGCTCGTGATACAGCAGTCTGGCAAATTGCATCCTCTGCTTTTCGCCTCCACTGAGCACATCCTTCCACTCCTTTCGTGTGTCCCAGCCACCCTCGCGGTCAGGAAGATAGCCCAGCTTCGCTTCTTCCAGGATCCGTTGCAGTTCCACTTCCGACTTGCGCTTTTCTCTCATGTCGACGTGGCCATCGGGATAAATGACTTGGTCACGTAACGTCCCAGGACTGAGATACGGCCGCTGAGGCAAGAACATGATTCCGTCTTGTCCAATATTCTTCGGACGACTGACCAAACCCCGGTATACTGGCCACAGTCCTGCCAAAATACGGCTGATAGCAGTCTTCCCCACGCCATTCGGACCAGATATCTACATACGAAATCGAATATAAGCTTCGGGCTCAAATGCTGGCCGTCCCATATCGTAGAAAGACATGAGCCAAAATCAAAGATATGCATTTACTTACCAGAAGATGCTCGCCGGCACGAACAATCATCGACAATGAGTCCAGCAGCTCGTCTCCTCCCTGCGGCCACAAGCCAGGGGCGACAATTGGCACATGCTCAAATCGGACGCCATCGAAACCCTTTTGGATCGTTCCTTGCACATCTGACAGCGAGTAGAGCTCGTTTTGTCCGCTGCGAAGGTAATACGCATTTGCATGCACTCGATGAAGAGTAGAAATCAGCGTGTACACTCGGCTAGTGTATCCGGCGAGCTCTGACAAATCCTTGATAGAGTACATCATCCTGCCGCCAGCATCCGCCAGGGACAGCATAAGTCTCTTGTTGGTGATGAAGTCCTTCATTCGATTACGCTCCCGGCCACCCTTCTCAAAGTTGTCAACCATTTCAGCGGCACCACCAATCCCACCCCACGCTGGGAGGAACACGGGTAATGAGGCGAGCAGATAGCCGTAGGCACTCCAGCTGTATTTTAGAATAAAGTCTTCCAAGATGTTGTAGCGAATCTTGAGCATGTAGATACCCTCCATCCAGCTCTTTAACGATTTGTATTCCTTGTTCAAAAATGTCTTCTCGATGTCAGCACCGCCATAAAAGGCAACCTCCTCGGCGTTAGCGATCAACCTTGCGTGAAGACTTCGGAAGTCGCCTTCCTTGCGCCCTTCAACGGCCTTAAGTTTTCCAAATGGAGGGGAGAGTCTGCGGAGAATGCTGGCCGTCAGGAAATAATTGCTCATCAGGCCTGAGAGGGCTAGCGGGCCGAGAGAACGATAAAGCTGGAAGCTAAAGACGCATAAGTCCACGAAAGGTTTTCCGAGAGAAGAGTATAAGTTAGCGGCCGCTGCACAGAACAGCGTTAGATCTTGCGTGATAAACTGATCCGCCCCGTGGCCGACACCGCCATCCAAGTTGTGAAGCTTGTAATAGTTTAAGTTCTCGTTCAAGTATAAGTCGTGAATGTATCGGGTGAGGCGGGTGCGAAATGCAATAGACACCTTCGATTCCAAAAATTTGATCATAGCGTTGGTATATGACGCAAAGCCGCCCAAGCCGCACCACTGTGAAAGTGCATGGTAAGTACAGCACTGGGGAGAATATGGGCCAACGAAGCACATCAAATGAGCGGAACTTACTTTCACAATGCCCCAGAGGAAGGCCTTTCCATTTCCAGCAACCAAGTCGCGGACCAGCTCACCATCCAACCGTGCGACAACTAGCGACAGATATGTTCGAAGCATCAAGAATATACCATGGCTGAGCAACAGACCAGCCTCTTTGCTTGACCACCGTGGGATCACGATGCTCAGGAGGCTCAAAAATTGATGCAAAAAGGCCAGGTTCAGGCCGGGTTTCGTCTGTGCCGAAGGAACCGTACCATCACCTAGGCCAGATACTCGCGGTGGATTTAAAAACAGGCGACGGTGGGCTTCAAATGTCAGGGGTTTCGTGGTGTTGATGATGACCTTGGAAGTTCCATTTTTGTAGGGTACGTAGATTGTACGGGAGCCGTCATCGTTGTGAAGCCACGAATTGGTCCGGACCAACTTGCGGCCCTGCTCTCGCTCTTGGTGTTGTCGCTTCCATCGCCGCCGGTAGCCCTCACCTCCGAGAACTACGGTGAGAGTGAGGGCAAGAGTAGCGAGGATTCGAGTGACTCGTGAAGTTGCGCGAAACCTCGATCGCGCAGCCGATGTCCATTTGTCGATGAAAGCGGCCAAGGCGTCCTCAGCAGCCGTCCGTCGAAGGTTGGATTGCGCGGCCATGGTGAGGTTCAACGCTCGCAACGAGATGCCGGAAGCCGTTGCGCGCGCGAATGGACGAGATTACAGGGTAGTCATGAAGTCCAGCTGCGGAGGACGGAGGTCACGGCTGGAGAGTGAGGCGAATAAAGCCAGCAAACAGCTGTTCGATTGACTTTAGTAACGTTGCGGTGGTAGGAGTGTAGGCCGTCCAGTGTCATTTGAAGTCTGCTGTCAGTTGACGTCGTGGAATGTCCATGGTGGCGCACCAATGGAGTGTCGTCCACAGCTAAAATGCAGTCAGCGCTTCAGCATGTGAAGGCAGGCGTTTGACGTAACATATCCGAGGCAGTTGGCACTTGCACGGTAGTACTCATGTGCTCCCGATGTCCGTACTGGCTCGAACAGTGGGCTGGAGTGCTCTCAGAGCCTGGGCTGACTGGGGGCGGCAGCCAGGACTGGGGCACCAGCTCGCGGCTTTTGACTGGACAGGCTGCGTACTTAAGTACTACTTGCTGGCAAAGCCACGTGCCTGGTGGACAAATCGAGTGTACATACAAGTAGTGGTCGATACGCGCAGCCAGTGTCCCACGACCAGGCACTGCGGCGAATGCTTACTTAAGTACACGAGTATACGTACTTAAGTAGGTACTTAGACATATGTCGAAGGACTGTAGAGCACTTGCTTTTTGCACTGAGGCGTGTAGTGTTAGTCGGGAAAATCATTTGCGAGGCATGCATCCAATCCTAAAAAAAGTACACAGTGCCCCCACACGATGCTTCTGGCTCAGCTCAAACAACGGTCAACTTCCAAAGAAAAAGACAATATAGTCATTAGTCGCCAACACCAATGCTAGAATCCTAGGCAGGCATTGATATATCCGGCTGATGCGGTCATATCCACCTACGGCACGCAAGAACAACTCACCACTAGTTATTATACAAGCTTACCGGGGGGAATCGCGGATCGGTCAAAAAGACCGTGTAGGGTAGCCTTGCTCTCCCTCCTAGTCACCACGCTGGCCCAAACGGACCGCTCACCGGGGAATGGGGTAAGCTTCCGATGGAGAGCTTCGAATGCTACTTCGTAACTTACCTAGGTACATACTTTCTGAGGCGCCCAGCTCGGAGGGCAATATTTCGTTGCAGATTGCAACTGTGGACAGGCTGACAGGCTGAGGCTTCGACCGGGTGGCGTGCCAGGCACAGGCAGGATGCATGAGCATGCATGTGGCGCCAGATCCCTCTTACTGGCTGGACACCGATGCTGGGGCGGGGCATGTCGGGCGCCAACAGATCCAATGAAAAAGTAGAGTGCAAGGCAGCATGTCTGGGTGGATGGTTGACACTCTTGGTTGCATCCAGCCCGTAGGTACGGAGTACAGAACAGCAATAGGGTATGGGGGCGTAATAGGCGGTTGGATACTCGGCAGTATGTACTCCGTACTCCGTAATAAAGGCAGCCAGCCAACCATTATTCTGCCTAGACGGGCTTGACCGGAGGCATTGTCGATTGATGTGTGAGCATGTACTCCGTAGTAGTATACACAATGTGTCCAGTCGTGGCTGCGACCAGTCAGAGAGGAGAGACATATTGTGATGCAAAGGCCGACCGGAGAGAGAAAATTGGAGAGGAACAGGGAACAGGGCAGGAGTTCGTGCGTGTCTACATGCGAAGTAGTACTCCGTATGATCGCCTACTTTAGGGGTTGTATGTATGGACTATTGAGTATATCGAGAAGAGACGAATGCAAATAACACGGGAGTGTGTGCACTGCAACGGGAATCCCCCAGGCCCTGATGGTTGATGGGATGATCTAGAGTTGCACTGCACACAATCCAGACACAGATATCCCGTGCTTCGTCCATAACACGCGGATCAATGGATACCCACAGAGGTCATGCTACGTACTAAGTACTTCAAGTAGGGTGACAGTGAGAACAGTACTAGCATTCACCATGACCCTCTCTCGGTTTCTGTCTCCAACACCTGACCGCCATAGTGAAGACACCGAATTCCTCGTCATTTTAGTACAAGAGTCATCGTGTCTGTCACAAGTGCCCCGTCCATCCATATGTATGTACAACTGCACTCAAGTCTAAGTAACTTTAGAAGTCTGAGACACCGCTGGCAACAACACATAAGTGACAGCAAGTACGGAGTACAATAACAGCAGATGAATTAGCAGTAGAAACTCGGAGGCTTGGGTCAACAAGGGTGCCCGGACGCCGTGACAACAGTTGAGAACTTTCAACTCCAAGTGCACGGTGCACGCATACAATATCTGAGTCCTCCTTGTCGCGCTCGAGAGTAGTATTGCTGTACCCGACGACATCTACTAGATGTGTGATGGAGTACATATACATACATGCACGTAGATAGAGTTCTCCGGCTGGCAAGGACAGCGGGCCACTTCGCAAAGTGTCCGGTGCAGAGCGCGGTAATAGAACACAGCTTTGGGCGGCGGCCCTGGTATTGGATTGGTTCTAGCCAGCATGCAGGCGTGATTACAGAGCAAATGGGGCCTAGAATCAACGCCAAACATTTGGTGGCATGGGTCTTGCTTCTTAAGTTCCTGGATTCATCGAGGCCCATTGTTAAGATGAGGGAGCTTGGCGGCTACACTAGAGATGATTAGGACGTGGGAGAGGCAGGAGAGACAGGTCCAGGAACTTATGAGGGTAACCAGGCACGGTTCGTGACTGCGCGGGATGCACCGTGTGGTCTGGGGGCTGCACACAGCCAGCGGCACGTGCGAAAAAGGTGCACCCCGCACTGCTACAGATCATACCCTACCTCCAGCCCCCTGTTGGTTCATCTGACGGAGAACATTGAACTCCACTCACACCTCAGCGCCCCTCTGCCGGCCCCTCCAGCCGTGTCCTTGCACGCTCCAGGCTCCTAATGTCCCCAATTGTGTCTGCACTGTTGTCTGCTTGTCTGCACGCTGACCTTGGACCATTGACATTGATTGACTCTGCACCTCGCTCGCTCACTGACTCCGTCCAGTGTCCAACCATGTCTGGTGCTTGGTGGCCCAGTGCCAGTCCCTGCGCGCGTGTGCTGTGTGTGCTGTGTGTGCTCTCGAGGGCTCTGTTTGGCTGAAATTAGCTGGGCCAACCGGTGCCTCTAGCCGTCCCCGTCCACTCGCCCACTTCGCCCGCTCCAGCTTTTGAATAGGCTCTCGCCGCTCTCGCCCAGCCGCCCATCCCAAAGGTTAAAGACTGTCATTTCGCTTGTGCTGCACGGCTCTTCAGCTCCGATACGTCGCCTCCGCGTCTTTCTTTGTTCACCGTCAGCGTTCCTCCTACAGATCATCGCGATTTCTATATCCTCGCGTCTCCATCTGCGTCGCCTCAATTCTTGCCGTTTGCGGCCCTTGGCTAATGTAGGCAGCGCCCTAGCCGATCTACCCACCCAGCCCAACCTCACAAGGTGCCAGCCCTGACTCTGACGCCTGGGCGACTCCCTAATTTTGCGCCTCGACCATCGTCAACGGCTTCTTTCCTGAACGCTCAAGACGTCGGCCAACCAGTTGTGCATTGCCCGCTTCGAGGGCTGACTATCCTGTGTCAGTCTTGCAGTGGTTGCGCAATTCACGGTTGGTCAATAGGCTCCGGATTAAGAGGAGGGACCGAGGTGAGTTCTCCTAGTAGGCTTCATGTCCTGCGCGCGGTTTCAAGCGCAAATTTCCCCAAATCTTCAAATACACAAACATACATCTCTTATCACTGGAGGGCCCATTGGTGCTATGGGCAATAGTGAGGAGCCCCCAAAGCAATGCCGCGGAAAGCAGCTTCGAAGCTGGCTAAGAGAATTGAAATCTCAACTTGTGGCACCCGGCGACCCTCTTCTAGCAAAAACACATGCCCCCCTCTGCTTCTATGTTTTAAATCATTTGCAAACGAATATCGCTAACCTACGTATTTTTGTATTACTATAGAACTGTGAAGACGGTTGCTGTCATACGCCAAAGGAGCCCATCATTCAAGCCATCAGGCTTCTCCGCATTCGACATGGGAAATGAAGGCAACCAGTTGTCGCCCGATGAAGGGGCAACGTCCAAGAGCGGTCGTGGCCTGTTAAAGGTGCCTTCAAGATCCTCATCGCAACAAAGAAACCAGTCCTCGACCGCCTCCACTGGCCTGAGTGGTGCGACTGTTACCGATCAAAGAAGTAGTATTGATGGCCGGTCTAAAGAGTCACGAGGCAGTGTGCCTGGGAGGCAAAGAAATGGTAGTGCGTCAACAAATCGAACTGGTGGCGATAGCGAGCGTGGGCACAACCCCGGCAGTTTCCAACCGAGTTCACCGTCTACTAGCGAGCAGAAACGCAGACGAAAGAAGAAGAAGAATGGAGGGCTTTTATCGTTACTGGGTTGTTGTGGCGTTCCTGATACCGCCAATGCACTGGAAGAAGACGAAAGCGTGAATGTTCAGAAAGTCGAAAAGCTTTCCCCGCGGCCAGCTACTGCAAAGCCGAAACCGCATGCCGCTCAGGAGCAGCAACCCGGAAAGTCATTGAACGAAAAGGAACGTAGCCAGAGCGTTCCTTCTCTCGATGAAACCGAAATCCAACCCTCAAGCAGCACACAGGAGCCCCAACCAAACCCCGAGCAAGCAAAGAATGAATCGAAACAACCTGTACCCCCTGCCGTAACTGTGGATTACCCGCCTGGATCGCCGGATGAGGGTGCGGAATCCCCAGATATGGCCGCTGCAACCAATACTGGCGACGTGGAAATGCAAGACGAGGGGAAAGAGGAGCCCGAAGAGACGCCAGTTGTGGAGGATTCACAGGACTCACAACCGCGAACGATACCACCACCTCCCGCAGCTTCTGGACCTTCAGCTGTCTCCACCGTTCCCGTAGCGGAGACTGGAGCTTCTGTTCCAGAGCCGCAATCCTGGCTTCTGCCTCCAATTGCAGCAGAACATAAAGGCCGAAAGTGCCTTGTTTTGGATCTAGATGAGACTCTTGTTCACAGTTCATTCAAAGTAAGCACTATTTGCCAAGTACAAAATGACCAACAATTACTAATTTTCCCGCCCTCTCAGATTCTTCACCAAGCTGATTTTACAATACCTGTGGAAATTGAAGGCAATTATCATAATGTTTACGTTATCAAGCGGCCCGGCGTAGATGAATTCATGAAGAGAGTGGGTGAACTTTACGAAGTCGTAGTCTTCACGGCGTCTGTCTCTAAGGTACGTGTGCAATGGTTCTCGCCATCGATGGAATGCGGTTTCTTGAACAGGATAGGACTAACCGTTCCTGATAGTACGGCGACCCTCTATTGGATCAGCTGGACATTCACAAAGTGGTCCACCACCGATTGTTTCGAGAGAGCTGCTACAACCATCAAGGCAACTACGTGAAAGATTTGTCCCAAATCGGGCGGGACCTCAAAGACACCATCATCATCGACAACTCGCCAACCTCCTATATATTTCACCCACAGCATGCTGTCCCAATCAGCAGTTGGTTCTCCGACGCTCATGACAACGAATTATTAGATCTTATCCCCGTTCTTGAGGACTTGGCTGGCCCCAACGTTGCAGACGTCAGCCTGGTCCTTGATGTCACTCTTTGAGATACCAATTTTCCTAAAACTCTTTGTTTCTTCTATTTCACTCTTCATCACAACTATCATCATCGAGAAAGCACCGCGGTTTGCAGTCTTGGAATCATAGCGGCTGGCGTTTTGGTATCAGATCATTCCTTCTCTGATGTAGATGTATTACTGTCTAATCATATATAATCGGCCATAGCTGGAGAGGAGGAGGACCCTCTACACCGGCTAGACTTTTGTTTTGATAACAATGGGAAACTGCCTGTTTCTTGAGCGAAATATCCCGTTCGACCAGACTCATCCCATTACAGCCAAAAGGACTCCGAATTGAAAAAAAAAGTTGGAATGGGGAAACAAAAAACACGGAATTGCAATAGCTTTGCTTTCATGGAGGAACAACCAGTTATTCTTTCACCCTACGGGTCTGCGGCCCGACAACTTGGTAATCTCTCTCTCTCAAAGACGCGCATTGGGAGCGGAGCAAAAGATGAAGCGTCATCTCAGATGGTCATGATACCTGTTACTATTATTTCTCATCGACGGTCAAGATCTGCAAGCTGCCGGTTAGCGGCTGGCCGCGATGCGTGCCTGTCCCTGTTGGCACAGTTTCAACTGTTTCTTCCACTTTAATCTACTTCAACTCATTATTCTGTTCCGATTCTACCCCCCCTTCCTCCTTGTGTTGTCTTGTACTTCACTGTTTTGAGTTATACATATACAAGCAGGCTTGCCAGCAGACTTGTAAAGGAATTGGGTTTTATTATTATTTTGGTGGCGTTGATGTAGATGCCGTGGGACCAGACAATAGGCATGTGAGGGCAACTTAGCGAAACCTCATATATTTAGTCTCACCAAAATTGTTAACGCTGATGGCGAAAGTATGTGTCTTAATTGTGAAAATGTGATGTTGGTTTGTTTATGATGTCAACACACAATATGGACTGGTACACTGATTTTGCCCCGAAAAATGAATCGGCCAAGGCGGAAAATCTTTTTGCCGACCTGGGGTCTGCGGTTCCCTTCTAGTGAATGTGGCCTCAACTCCCTCCCATTTGGCGCGCCGCATTCCGCCCTCGTCGCTGCTACTGCTTCAATCACCATCACAGCATCCGACCCCTTTCGTCAATTCAAGATTCAGGAATCCTGCAGCGTTTCCTAATCGAACTTTTTGAGAATTTTTGTTCACATTTAACAAAATGGTATGGATTTAAGCTTCTCCTGTAAATGGCCCATTGCGACACTGGACTGAGCATGCTGTCCTTGAGGACACGATCAGCTCTTCGCTGTACTCACGAAGCGTAATGCAATATTAGAAGACACCATTGGGCGCTATTTTGTCGCGATGAAATCAATTCACTGACATTAATCGAATGCTATAGTCTTCTCCTCGTGCTTCTTCTCCGGCCAACTCCCCAGCTGCTGCCAGCGGTGCCAACATTGGCCGACCTTCATCCCCTACACCTCCCGGTGGTCCTCGAACTGCCATTCGGCGTCGCGCTGCTGCCGACCAAAAGGAGAAGATTGCCAATGCTCGACCTACAAGCACGAGATCGGCGGGCGCCGGTGGCTCCAGCAGTACCATGCTGAGTATGCCGACCCAACCTTTGCCCCTGATCACACATCTGCCCAGGTTGAGGCCTTCGGCTGTAATAGTTGGTGGTTGGAAACGATGGAAGAGCATGGCTGACCGATTGTTTGCAGGGTTATACACTGATGAGTCTCCTGGCTTGAAGGTCGACCCCGTAATTGTCCTTGTCCTATCTCTTGTGTTCATTTTCAGCGTTGTGGCTTTGCATGGTATGTGCTCAGTTTTGTTTCTCTACCTTGGAGACACTGCTTGCTGTTTAAGGCAAGCCACTAACGCAATTTACCAGTGATTGCCAAGATTACCCGACGATTCTCGAGCTAAATAGGTGACGAAACGTGGATGCAGTCATTATTGTCGACCAGGGGCGGATAATGGGTGATTCTAAAGCTGATTTGGAGTCATCGTGGTGGCGTCATGCTTCCAGACGGTATCATGACAAAAGTCATGAGAAACGGGACCAGAGGACTTGGCACGTTATTTTTTTTTAGATTGCTCCTAGCCACAAGCGGAGCGTCCTAAACTATGCGGCGTCTTGTATCATACCAAAAGCTTTCATTTGTCGTTTATTAGAAACGTGCCAGCTTTGTCGCTTCCAAGATATTTCTCGTGTGATATGCAATGTCTGACCCGAAATCATATGCTGAGACTTGTTAAACGGAGGCAACGCGGCTCATGGGACGGCTTTGGTGGTTCGCTTGGTAAACCTCCTAATGCGAATATAAGTTAGGGTTTAATTGTTTAATGAATACAACTTGGCCTTGGTGTTCTCTCATAAGCAATGCAGAGAGATATCTTCATAATCGTTCAATGGAAGAAGGAACATTTTACCTGACCTTTGTGTATTCCCTTGTCTAGTAACTTGGTATCAACAATCCTTCGTCTTGGTGTGGCACGAGTACCTGTTGATAGGCATACATACATATGTACGTCAACGTCCTTGGGAAGTGGGGCACTCGCGCCGTGTCGACATTTGAAGCTGAAGCTTTCTACTCTGTAAAGACTGGTTCTAAAAGCGGCGCTGCTCTGCCACCCTAGCAGTCGCGTCGAACTCGTCAGCGGCGGGCACATGCCCAGGGTTGGTTGGCGTCATGAAGACTAAATTTGGACACTAGCACGACTCACTACCACACGTTACTCCATGATACTGCTTGACGACCAGACTCTTGAGACTTGTTCCCATCGATTCACCTCTCGCATGCCTTGCCGCAACGCCGTCAAGCCCCTGTGCAGCTTGTTGGCTGCCTGATGAGCTTTACACTGTTGCACGAGCAATCCACCCTCAAATGTTTGCCAGCACTTGAGCCCCGTCGGAACCACATATCCATAGAGTGATAGCTGGTGCCTGCGTTCCAAACTCGACTTCTTGAGCTGCAACTCGACACATGCACGGGCTGCAGGGGCGATTGGAAGCTTTGGACCGACATGGAGATTCTCGACGAGAAGCAGAGGCTGGCCATGCAGAATGGTCAGCCACCGGAGATCCAACCGTACGTTCCAACACAGGCGGTTGTGGACTGCGATGATGGCGCTGCGGCTCTAGTTACCGACGGCTTCTTGGTCCCAAGCCTCGACGGGCCCAACGATGCAGAACCCCCCGCATATGGCGAACAGCATAACCACGTCCGATTTTCACAACCAGGCTTCGATGCTGGTGCCGAAATCACAGGTATGTCCAATAGCACGTACCTTGGCAGTTGACGCACTCGGGCTCTGTGATTCTTTGTGGGCGACATCGGGGCATCGAAAGGCTACAGTGGCAGGCAATGTAGCAATGCATAGGACGCTGGCGAACAAAGGCTAACCACACACGGTCAATATAGACGATGGTAGAATTAATATCAACCTTCACACCAAGAACCGACGGCTTGCAAATTTGCTTGCCCCGACTATCGACAGCCAAATCTCAGTAGAGCCTCAAGCCGAACCTGCTCTACCGCCAGCATATATCCCGCCTGGTCTAAGTGCTGAGCCAGGTCAGCCGCCTCCACCCAGCCTTAACGTCGTTATCCAAATTGTCGGTTCTCGAGGTGATGTCCAGCCTTTTGTGGCCCTGGGAAAGGTCCTGAAGGAATCATACGGACACAGAGTTCGGATAGCGACTCATCCAACGTTCAAATCCTTTGTCGAGGAAAATGACTTGGAGTTTTTCAACATTGGAGGCGATCCTGCCGAACTCATGGCCTTCATGGTAAAACACCCTGGATTGATGCCTGGAATCGATGCTCTGAAGAGCGGAGAAGTCAGCAAACGACGTCGGGGGATACAAGAAATGCTTCTTGGATGTTGGCGATCCTGTATCGAGGCAGGCGATGGTCTAGGACCTCCGCCAAAGCCACATAGGATTAATGAGCCGTTGGACCTGGCTGCTGGAATGCCGGGAGACGGACATGATCAACCATTTGTGGCAAATGCTATCATTGCAAACCCCCCAAGTTTTGCCCACATCCATGTCGCTGAGAAGCTTGGCATCCCGGTTCACATGATGTTCACGTAAGTCCCGCGTTGTCTTGACATTCAACATCAAGCAGTCAATTACTTTACTTACTCAGTGATAGCATGCCGTGGTCACCTACGAGGGCATTCCCCCACCCTCTGGCGAATATCCAATCTTCTAACGCTGACGACGTCATGACTAACTACATGACCTATACATTGGTAGAGATGCTGACATGGCAAGGTCTCGGTGATGTTATTAACCGCTTTCGTCAAAAAGCACTTGACTTGCCATCCCTGTCGTTTATCTGGGCGCCTGGCCTGCTAAATCGCCTCAAGGTTCCCTACACCTATTGCTGGTAGGCTGAATCCTCTGACCCTTCTGAAGGAGCTATGTCTGAAGTTTTATTGAACAGGTCCCCAGCGCTGATACCAAAACCGAATGATTGGGGGAGGCATATCGACATTTCGGGCTTTTACTTTCTTAATCTAGCGTCGTCCTATATACCGGACCCAGAGCTCGCCGCATTCCTTGAAGCCGGCCCACCCCCGGTTTATATTGGATTTGGGTCCATAGTCGTGGATGACCCAAATGCCATGACTCGAATGATATTTGACGCAATTCATCTCGCCGGTGTTCGGGCATTAGTATCGAAGGGCTGGGGTGGTTTGGGTGCAGATGATGTTGGTCTTCCTGAAGGTGTGTTCATGCTGGGCAATGTGCCGCATGATTGGCTTTTTGAGCATGTTTCGGCTGTTGTACATCACGGCGGAGCTGGAACGACTGCGGCTGGTATCAAGGCTGGAAAACCTACGATTGTTGTACCCTTTTTTGGAGACCAGCCATTTTGGGGAGCCATGATTGCAAGGGCGAAGGCTGGGCCGGAGCCAATTCGTCATAAAGATCTCACTGCAGAAAAATTGGCTGAAGCCATCAAGTTCTGCCTTGAGACCGATACCCAAGAGAGGGCAAAAGAGCTGGGACACAAAATCCGAGAGGAAGCTGGAACAGATGTTGGTGCAAAGAGCTTCCATAAGCACCTCGATATCGATTCTCTGCGTTGCTCGGTAGCACCCAGCCGAACTGCCGCTTGGCGAGTCAGAAGAACCAAGGTACGCTTGTCGCCGCTGGCAGCGTCGGTGCTGATAGATGCAGGTCTGATAGCGTACAAAGATTTGAAGTTGTAAGTAATTATTGCGTCCTGGAATTCATCTGAAAAGAAACAGCTGACTCAAATTCACCACAGGTATCGACCTGTCGAGTACAATACAGAAGATCAGCCACCTGACCCCGTTTCGGCTGGCGCTGCTTCGCTCATCGGCGACCTGAGTGGAATTGGCATGGCTATCGCAGATGTTCCTCGGGAATTATTCAAATCTCGACGTCCCAAGGATGGTCAAAGCTCAGAGACATCAACCTTACTAGGCTCGTCTAGCAAACTCACACTAGCTACAACGGACACGATATCCCAGAACGAGTCTACTACTGACTTGTTTAGTCCTACCTCTCGGGAAAGAGAAGGTCAAGAAGAGTCAAGAGTTCCAACTGCTGATTCCAATCGATCGCTCACCGAACTATCTTCCGCATCACAATCTCTCGTGGAACCGAGGTCTGTAGCTAGATCTGGAGGAGATGCAGAAAGCGGAAGCTCTAGAACACCTTCCAGGACTGGACTTAGGGCCCGAGCATCCAGTGATCAGCTAAGACAAACATTCTCTCGTAGAGACCCGTCGCCTCTGGGGATAAGTCTGGATGCCACCGTTGGAGCTGGACGAAGTGTAGGCCGTGCTGTGTCTACAGGCGTGAAGAGTCCGATGAATTTCTGTTTGGGGCTGGCTAAGGGATTCAGGAATATTCCGAGACTCTACAATGACGATACTGTCCGACCCATAGAGAAAGTCACCGACCTCAATAGTGGTATCAAGATTGCTGGCAAAGAGCTTGGATATGGCTTCTTCGATGGCATTGCCGGTTTGGTTACGCAACCAATTCGAGGAGCTGAAAAGGAAGGACCCGGTGGATTCGTCAAGGGCATCGGAAAGGGCATTGGAGGCCTTATTGCTAAGCCTGCTGCTGGTAAGTTCCTCATGGTCTAACACTTTGATTTAACTGAGCCCGAATTTTACTGACATGGTAAAGGCATATGGGGTGTTCCTGCCTATATGATGCAAGGCGTCCACGCGGAGGTCAACAAAATGTTTACGAAGAGCGTCCAAAACTACATCATTACTTCTAGGGTCGTCCAGGGGACGCAAGATCTGACCAGAGCAAGCGAGGAGGAAAAGTCTGACATTATTATTCGGTGGAACAATTCGAAATGGGATCTGAAGAACTATTATATGTTGAAGCGAAAGGAAAAGACAGCCGAGAAGGCACCAGCAGGATCAGAACAGTCCACGCAATCAGACTTACCATTCTCTCGACCTAAGACAAGCTGGCTTCACACTCGCGGAATGTCGGCAGAAGAAAGAAAGAGGCTGCAGACGCAAAAGAGAGGCTTCGTCGACGCGCCTGTGCCTCCATCAAGCAGCTCTTCTAGTGCCCGGCCAAGCTCATCAGATGATGCTGAGTTCGAACAAGCAATCCAAACCTCGGTTCGGGAAACATCTAGAGGCAATATCGAAGAAGATGCGATGATCGAGGCAGCTATTCGGGAAAGCATCAGAGCCATGCGTGCAAGAGGGGCGCTACTAGAGACGTTACCGGAGGACTCTGAAGAAATTCCAGAAAAGGACCTCAGCATATTCGAGGACGAGGAGTACCAGATTACAGACGAAGAATACCAGTCGCTTGTAGAACAGGCCATCCAGCAAAGTCTGGCAAGCCATATAGAGGATTTGTTCCACCCTCAAGAAACTGGCATATCAGAACTGGACGCATTTACTACGGAGATACACAGTGCCCAGGGTAGTGGCACTGCACAAGCAGACGAACATGATGCCGATCTTCAACGAGCCATAGAAGAATCAAAGAATGTGCCGACTCCTCCATCATTTGATGACGAGGAAGAGCTTCAGCGAGCTATTGAAGCATCGAAACAGGATATGGCTCGCGAGCACAACCAACAAACTGAGGAGGACATTGTCTTGGAATATGTAAAGAAGCAAAGCTTGGCTGAGGCAGAATTCCATAGTCAGCTGAACAAAGGGAAAGGAAAAGCAGCAGCAGCAGAAACCGATAGCGAAGACGAGGAACTAAAGCGAGCTTTGGAAGAGAGCTTGAAATTGCACAGAGGCGATTGCGCCGGCCCTTCAGGGTCAGGATCAAGATCAAGATCAAGGTCAGCATCCAGAGCTTGCGATGAAGCAACAGAAGGAAAGTGATTGGATTTGGTTCTTTCCAATTCTAGACGGATAAATCAGGATACCCAGCAACGAATATTCATGAAGCATATATGCATTGTTTTAGCGAATGAAGCCCCTGATTAAATCACCGACGAGGAGCTGATACCATATCTGACCGTGATGCTATGAATCAATAGTAATGCAAAAAAAAAAAAGACATGTTAAAGAAGTGAAATAAGAGGATGAACGATTTAGCACCCTGGCCTGTTGTTTCCAAGAAATAACGAGTGGCCAGAACTATCAACTACGCAGTCCGCCAAGCGGATCGTGTAACTTTTGCTCACCTGACTTCATCTCGATGTACTGCGCATGTAGCGTCTCGCACATGGCGGTTATAGACCACACGCATGCAAAACAGTTTGCGATGAGTCTAACAAATTTACCCGGTGTAGGCAGCATGTTGTATGCCACGGCAACGAGAGAAGATTGAACCGTAAAACGGAGGATCCAAAGGCGAGCTATGGACCATGAATTGTTGGCTTTCTGAGTGGCCTTTAGCCTCATGTATACAAAGGTTTAAAGTTTGCTTCAGAAGACTTAAACAGGAGGCACCACTTACTTTAATCTCCTCGAGGGTCTTTTCCCAGAACCGGCTGGTATGCGACAACTCTCCCTGCCATCTCGCCAGAGTCACAACAATGTACGACCGGGGGATTATAAGTCTAAACCGCATGTACCTGTCCGCTATTCGCTGCGCCAGCTCTGCCATTCGCTGACGCTTCTCCAGCTCTTGGGCTCCGGGTGGTAAATGGGACAGATATGCGCAACACCCCTCAGCCAGGTCCTGATACAGAAGCGGCAAACGACAAAAGTGGTTGATGACGGTCTGAGCAGATACACGTTGCCGCAAGGGCAGCCGGCCCCGAAGATAGGCTTGGTCTTCGACGGAAAACCTGGGCGGCTGATTGGAGGAGGGAGGCTGCCGGAGCGACGTGGTATTGCTTCCGGCAGAAGGACGGTGCCGGTGCGCCTGGAATCCGTGGCTGTCCTGGCGACGTGCCGTCGACTTGTACGGCCATGAGGCGGAAGGCGAGCGCACATCGGTAGCCTGCGGCGACGAAGGCGATGGGGAGATGACGGGCGGCTGAAGACTGGCGTTGACTTCATCCTCGGTCACGAATGCCCCCCGATGCTGTAGTGATGATGTCTGTTGAAGCGATGAAGAGGACGTCTCTCTGATGCCTGAGATGATCCAGAAGTTAACAACAACAAGATATGTCATAGCTTGCCGCGTCAGTTTTAAAAGAAATTTCGCGGTAGCTTCTATAGCCTGGATTAATGAGCCGTTCCAATGACCTTGCCAGTGAGCCTCGAACATGCTGACTATACACAGTGGCAATTCCCGACAACAGACACCACATGGCATTTGATAGTTCAAGCACACGCAAGTCCGCTTACGAATCCACGTTCATATCCTAACAGGGCCAGAAGTATGGGACCAAGTCTAGGCCTCTTCAGCAAGGACCTCTCTCAGGAAAGGGTTATTGGGATATAAAGACAGAATTTGTGATATTAACTATAGGCGGAGTGGAGTTTGAGAAGTGACAAAGACCACGAGGGGTATCTTGGGAACGAACACGATAATATAATAAGCAGAGCTGTCCAAAGAGGCAAGAATATGCACAAGGGGAAATAAGAAAAAGGGCCAATGTTATCAATAGACAAATCCAGGCTGTTGGGGCAAGGAAAACAACGGGTAATGATATGATTTCTCTAGTTCAATACAAAATCTACTTCTTTAGCTCCAGGAGTTCCCCTGATTCTGGGTACTTCTCCTGATTCAATCAACCCCAATGAGATGTACACGAAAAGTCAAGTTCTTGCGGTCACCATAAAACGCCAAGCTACCCGCCACAAAATAACATATATGCCCGTTCTCGTAGCTAGTCCAAATCTGGGACTCCGGAAAAGAATGCTATAACCAACAATGGAAAGATATATATACAACCACGACGACACTCCTACCTCGCTCCACGACATGCAAAGCAGGTTGTGCATATCGCTATAGACGGGGCGGCAAAGGATCATAAGGATTTCGAGACTTCTTCATTTGTCAGCCATATCGCTGCTGTCCACCTTGAGGTGGAGGAGGGCCGGGTTGCCCGCCACCTTGATTACCACCTCCGCCGCCACGATTAGCCATGGCCATAACATCCGGACGATTCTCTAAGGGCTGTTGAAAGTGGCAGATGTTGCATGTAACATCCTTGTATCCTGAAATAGTGAAAGGAATGATGGGCTGCAGTGACGAAATTAGTATGCGTAACTTCTCGAGTGGACTAGGGTCGAAGGGGAATGGACTGGAACAGTATGGATTCGAGATAAACGGGAACAAAATCTCGCGTTGCAACTAGAGGCGAGATGTGCCGACCTGGCATCAACCAAATCATGGCAGGTAGGTATGGGTGAGATGGATTGAATCTAGCTATCAAGGATCGGGCACTTACAACGAAGCAGAAGGTAAAGAATGGGCGGCTCTTGACAACGTGGGCTGCCATGTTTCCGCAATGGTGGCATTGACACACCATTCCCTCATACCCAGGAATCTCACTGCGGAAGGTGTGCTCACCGCATATGAAGAAGAAGAACATGGCGAGTGGACTGCTGACGTGGTCGGGGGAGCTGGCGAAGGGCGACGAGATTTGTTAGAACAGGTTGATCTGAGTTTTGAACAAGTGTCGGTCGGCAACAGCTCCTGTCGTCCTGGACGTGATGAAAGTGTCGGTTTAGACACGGCCTACTGCAACGCAACGCTCGTGAGGACGCCTTTCAAAGAACTGCGCGTCCAGCTACACCGTACTCGTTGTCAAAATGAGGTTCGCAGCGGAGACCACTGGGCGAAATTGCTGTAGCCTTGTCACAGGATTTGAACAGGCCAATTGGGGCTTAGCGAAGACGGATAGCAGCGAGAGGCCTCGAGCAAGCTTGTTGCAGAAGAGGGAGCCAGGGTCAACTCCACTTGAGCAAGGAAATGAGTTGGTGAGGCTCGGTTGGATGCTCGGGTCCAAAGCGATTGGGGTCGCTTTGCGCAAAAAAAAAAAAAAAGCGGAAGAAGTACGATGCACAATGCACGCCCGGTTGTGGAACGAGGCCGAAAGGAGGAAGCGAGACGGTACCGAGACAGTATCGAGAGCACAGCAACAGATCGGTGTGTCTAGTATGCATAAGATGAGGGTTGAAGAAGGAGAATAGAGACTCGATAGGCGACGGGGCGCAGGAATAATAGAGTGATGACGCGTGACGCCACCCGTTGATGGTTGATGGACAATGGATGATAGGTTGCAAGGTCCAAGGTTCACGTACCAGGCGGTGCCCACAAGCAAGCTAACAGGGTGACATCAGCCCGAAAGGGCAGCAGCCAGCACCATCACTCTCCTGCTCGCTGGGCTGGAGAAGCTGTGGCAGAATGGATTTGTGGGGATGCTTGTTCCAGCACCCGCAAGGCATAGACCCCACTTTCCGTGGTAAAACGGCCCCACTCCCATTTCTCTGTTGTTCGGTAGCTAACGCCTCTTGTGGCTCACGAAGAAATACGAAGAGAAAAAAAGCTTGGGATTGCCAACGGACCACAACCACAGCCAGTGGCCGCCCGAACGGATTCAACCACCACTGGCGGCAGATTGCATCACTGTCTTATCTGATTCTCGCGCTGCGGCTTGACGTGCTCCGCCTCCAGGCTAATCTATCCAAGCCTGTTCACGAGCCTCACCCATCCCGCACTTCGACTCACGATGATCTACGACCTCAACATTGCGTGGTCCCCTTCCACAACTTCTGAACGTCTCCTCCAAACTCTCTCTCTCGCCTCTTCCCTTGGGTACTCCACAGTTGCCCTTAACCACACGCTGGAGCTTCCAGTACCCGCGAATCCTAAATCGCCCTTCCCATCAGAGCTCGAGTCCTCGTCTTCGCGAACACTTCCTACGTTGCTGCACCGTGCCACCCTTGCCCTCGACGACCCAGCCGCCTCGAATTACCGCCTACCAACGCTCGCAAACGCGTATGATATTCTCGCCGTTCGGCCGTTGACGGAAAAGGCATTTCAAAATGCTTGTCTCACTCTTGACATTCCCATCATCTCCCTCGATCTTACCACGTACTTTCCCTTTCACTTTCGCCCCAAACCATGCATGGCTGCCGTAAGCCGTGGGGTTCGTTTCGAAATATGTTACGCCCAACTTCTTGCCGCTGACAACCGCGGCCGCGCAAACTTCATCTCCAACGCAACCAGCATCATTCGGGCCACCCGTGGGCGTGGCATCATGATTAGCAGCGAGGCCAAGACAGGACTTAGTCTACGTGGCCCGGCAGATGTGGTTAATCTTCTGAACGTGTGGGGCCTGGCGAACGAGAAGGGCCTCGAAGGCTTGCGATCTATCCCCCGAAGCGTCGTTGTCAACGAAGGAATGAAGCGGAATGGCTTCCGTGGCGTCATCAATGTCATTCAAGCGGCGTCGACAGATGATAACGATACGAATAAGCCATCCTCGGGCGACAATGAAACGAGTGCAGGAACGGACACTGGCCGAAGTGGCAATAAAGCAAAGAACCAAAAACGCAAGAAAGGGGAAGAAGATGGACAGTTTGTCAGCAAGAGACAAGCAAAGAAGTTGAAATTAGCCGCTCGCGCAGCTGGACCTGACAAAACGCCGGCTTCATGATATGCAAGTAGCACAAAGCCAGCAAGCTTGAGATTAAAGCCCACGAATTTCATGATGCACATATACAGTATGGCAAGTCTAAGAGACACCATGGCCTTTTCACCTTGACCTGGAACTCGATGATTCACTTCTGGTAGTGACGTTCTAGGTCACCTAATAGAGCCTTCGATCAACTTCATTCACAGCTATGTATCGCCTATTTACATTCTACACGCTTTAGTTGGCGTTGCAGTTCCTAGATGGCCACAGTAGTGGGAGCTGGAGCGTTCCCTGCCTGCTTCGGTAGGTTCCCAAGGTCGACTATGCTGTTTAGAGTGAGTCCGGATAGATTGACTGATGGTTGTGCAGGGGCAACTACTCCAAGAGGGGATGTTGCTACCGGAGCTACGACAGAATCTAATGGCGCTGTAGGAGGCGGTGCCTGCGAATCAGACGAGGAACTCGAAGGAGCCGACGATGAAGTTGACGACGGCGAGGTGCCGCTTTCCTTTTGCGCATCAGGCTTTGGTGCTGCTGGTTGGGGGGGTTTGGGCAAAGCAACCGGAGCTGGCACGGGAGGCAAAGATGAACTCGATTCTGGTTTTGGCGGTGCCGGTGGTGGAGGTTTCGGAGGATTCAAACTGTAAGTTGTTGTCGGAAGGGCAGTTTTGTCAATAGGGACTGGCTTCACACCAACTCCATTTCCACCAGCAGTGGGCGTGGGTTTTTCTCCAGTGTTCGACTTCTGAGAAGAGTTCTGAGGATTCTGAGGTTGGATCGATATTAGCTACTTGATGTATCAAGCACATTGGGCTCCAAATGGACTTATTCCTGGTCGGGGCTTTGACTTACACCTCCAGCAACAGTGACTGTCGTCGTGACTGTTTTGGGTGACTTCGTTCCCGTTCTGACCGGCCCCTTGGAGACTGTAGGCCGGACAGTCACGGTCACAAAAGTTATTTGTATCCTATAAAATCATGTTAGTGCTGTTGAAGATAACGATGTGGCTTGCCAAGCGAAAAGAAACGGACCCTTCAAACTTGGGTGCGGGCTGCTGGTTGTTTGATTGTGTGCGATTACGGTGTTGTTGCTCCATGCCAGGTTGCTTTGGCCGTTGTCCCTTTTGTTGGCCCTTAGTACTGTGTTGCTGACCATCTTGCCGCCCATTCGAACTTGCGTCAACAGCCTTACGACGACCAGTCGGCGAAGCAGCAGGTAGCATGTGGGCATTGGCGGTGTTAACAACACCATCAGGTCCAACAATGGTCCAGAACCCGCGAGAGGTGTCGTCCTTGACTTGGTTGACATCGTACTGACTATCGCTCCCCCCCGATTTGAGCCCAACCCTCGATCCAAGGCCCTTGAGGTACCCAGATCTCTTTTCCACGTCTCGGTTTAACCCATGTTGACCATTCCGCATGGCCTTGCTTTCAAGTCAGCTTCATTCCAAATGATCAAGCTTGCTGGATACACGAAAGTAAAAGGCGCAATTACCTGAGCGATAGCCGTGGTAGCAAGAACGAGCCAGACAAAGGCTTTCATCCTAGGCAGTAGGAAATCCTGTTCCCAACGGGACACGCACGCCACTGCCTAGATAGCGCGCGGATATTAACACTCCCGAGAAAAGAAAAAAGAAAGAGAAGAAAAGGGTTTAAGTGTGAATATTGGGCAGGCCGGCTGCTCAAAATATAAAAACAGGACGACTGCCAAGATCAAGGTCTACATCCAAGAGTCCGGAATAAAATCATGGAACCCAAGGATGGCATATCAGCCAGCTGATGAGAGGACAAGAAGGCCTATATGGCAGTTTGCAAAGCGAGGGAGAGAAGGAACGAAGCAAATTTGAACGCGAAGACGATAAGAAACGCGGCTTGACCTAAACTGGGACCCTTCACGTTTCTCAACTCAATGAAAGAATGTTTGGAGCAAGAAACAGGCTGGAAACCCAAGCATTTGCTTGTGAGAACGGAGTTACACGAACGAACCGACAGTAACTAAGAGGTCAAAGAGCAACACATGATACTGAACAGAGAAGGAAAGGAAGACGAAAGGGGAAAATGAAGAGGGCAGTGTACGATGGTGAAGAGAAAGATCAGATGGTGTGGGTGGGAAAACACGGCACCAGACAGTACATGCATTAGTTCAGCGGGAGATTCGCGTAGCATCTGAACAGATATCTTGTATGAAGCCTTTACACTTGCTACGAGTAGTGAGTCCTATTGCGCTCGTATGGGGAGAGATCTCGGCAGCCCGGAAAGAGAGGCGCATGTTGTCGAGTGTCATGTTTGCCTCCAATCGGACCAGGTGGAAACTGAAGCCCCCCATGGATTTCTCAGCAATTTGGTGACATTGACAGCGGAATCAATGGTGATGATACCTCCTATCCCCCATACATCCTGGTTCATAGCTTGTTTTGAGTAGGTTGGATTCGCGAGGGATGCGGCTGCAGTCAGGGCCCAAGTGGGTGCATGCTGTTGCACGAGGAGTAGTTGGCGTCGAGACTGAGACGTTTGGAGACGTCTGGCCCAGACAGCTTGCGTTTGGGGGCATGGCCTCGCGTCACATGACAGCGATCTGAAAATGTGCAAATGGATAGCCTTGTTGGTGTTGGCGTGGACGGAGCATAAAACATGGTCGGCGCTACGCGCTGGTGCGTTTGATGCGGACGAGTGCGTAAGTAATGTTCCCATCACTTTTTGTTCGGGAGTGGGTTGCGACGTCGAAAGTCGAACGGTGCAATCGAACGGCCGCCGCACCTCTGGTTTCACAGATGGTTGCCAAGTGCGTCAGCACCCAGGTAGATGGACAGGCGGGGGATACATCCTCTCTTCCTAGAGTGCCATTACACTGGTGAATTCTTTGGTCCTTTGGTGCTTACGTAGAATATCCGCAGAGATATTGATGAATTGGCGCTTGGATGAGAGCGAGATCTGCAGATTGTCGATTTGGCTTAAACATCGGGCAGTGTTGGACCAGTGCTGGCAAAGGCAGGCGACGGGTACCTCGCACCTTCCTGTAGAGACATGGCGGTAAAAGTCACTAAACTCCACTAGTCTCTCTGCGACCACCGCGATCGCTTTTGCAATCACGGTCAATGATGACATCCGTCATTGGGTGTCGGTGTGTGTTCGTCATGGCGTCAAAAGACACCTCCCTCACATGGAAATGCCCGTTTTATTATGACGCACACCACATAGCGCCATGAGAATGCCAACATGCGGCAGTTATAATATCTGCATTCCTACATACAAAAATTATCCTTCACCCCATTCCATTCGTGCTGCCAGACCTTCCATCGCCAATAGCTTCGTATGAGGTGTTCTTCGCCATGGCTGTCGCCCATGTTCTAGACAATTACTACCTGGGAATAACGGCCATTGTCACCGTTGCCTACCAGCTCTTCTTCTTCGCCATCGCATATTCCTTCAAATTCGACAAACTCACTGGTAAGTCGCAGCCCCCTTCGCTGCAACCGCAAACTACAAACTACGTCGTCTAACTCCAAAAAGACCTCGCCGGCGGCACCAACTTCGCCATCCTGGCGATCCTCACACTCTCCCTCTCCGGCCACCACCATGCGCGCCAAGTTGTAGCCTCTCTGTTTCTCATCCTCTGGGCCGTTCGTCTCTCGTCCTTCCTCTTCTTTCGCATCCTGCGCACAGGCTCAGATGATCGATTCGACGACAAGCGCGACAAGTTCTTTCCCTTCCTTGGCTTCTGGGTCTTTCAAATGATTTGGGTGTGGACGGTGTCACTCCCCGTGACCATATTGAACTCGCCCAATGTGACGCAGTACCCACAGCATTCATTTGGCACTGGGAGAGACATTGCCGGCATTGTTTTATTTACGATTGGGTTTCTTATGGAGAGCGTGAGTGACATGCAAAAGTACAATTTCCGAAAATCCCACGATGGGTACGCGGTTTGTGATGTCGGCTTGTTCAAAGTGTCGAGACATCCGAATTACTTTGGCGAGATAATTATTCAGTTCTGTAAGTTTACGTTTAATGGTTTTTGGCGAACAAGATGAAAGTGTTGAGCATGGAGCGCTAACGGCCACCTTAGCCATTTACATGATCGCCGTTTCATCAGCGGCGGATGGGTACGTCTCAGGCCAGGCCTACAAAGCGCTGTACGCAACAATCTTGGGGCCAATTCTTCTCACAGTACTACTCATGTTTGTATCTGGACTGCCCCTTTCGGAGAGGCCAAAGGCCAAAGCACGCTATGAGAAGGGCAACAATTGGGAAGGATACAAGCGGTGGCTGGACCGGACGAGTATCTTGATTCCATTCCCCCCACAGCTGTATGAGAAGATGCCTTTGTTTTTGAAACGAACCATTTTCCTGGAGTTTCCCATGTACGTATTTTACCCTCCGTCAGCAGATGCTGATGTTGTTGAGTGAAGTGAATGATGAATGGATAATGGATTTTAAGAGACCATGTACACATATCTGGATTCTCGGCTATGCTCTAAACGCTGTTGCTGCGTCGCGCATTTGCAGTACATAGTAGAGATCAATTGCGCTGAGACGGTCTACTTTTCTAGTCTCCTACTGTCCTTGGCCTGGTACAGCCCAATACTGTTTTAGATCAATACTGTTTAAGATTTTACGCTTACACGATACTTGTATCATGCGTGTAATTTCATTTGACTACAGAGCGAAACAATTAAACCTTAATAACATAATAGAGATCAATTAATTAATTCAAAATACTATGTCAAGCGATGTTCCTTCCCATGATTTGGTATATATGGATGAAATATATGTCCCTGTATGTCCGTCCTCTTGTTCCCCCGCCGTGTGACCCCCGAACACCCCAAAATGAACAATTAGCACCACAGCATTCCCAGAAATAGACAAGATCCTTCCGTGTTGAACCACGTTCCCAGCCCGAAGATTACGATACCCAAGTTTTTAAGATACAACTACCAAATCTTAATGTGAATTGATCTAATGCCGCATTATGATAGGAAGAGGGGCGAACCACTCTGTTCCATCGATTGTTTTGGACAGATACCTGTCGTTTTCGCGTATAGAATGCAGTCTGCGCCGCAATGAAAGTAAATAGCATATGAAACTAGACCCATTATTTCGCCTCATTTCGTTGTTTTATTTTATATTCAAGAGCCCGCTTAGCTGGTCAATTCCGATCCGGGCTGATCGAGTGGTTGATCGAGAAACTCTTGGGTAGAACCGTAATCAGTCGAGGAAGAACCTTCGGAGTGAGTCTCGGAGCCTTCGGGGATAGGGACCATAGCACTCTTCGTCCAAAGATGAATGGCCTTGGCCCAGTCTAAGCCCTCGAGACACCCTCCTTTTACGGATACAACATTTTTGGTCTGCTTGGGCGTTGGTATTAGTTGCGGGTATCACGGGGCGGAGAATCATCATGTAATTGTGCGCCTACCGGTGTTGTGTGAAGGAGTCGAGTCCCGCACTTTCGGCAAAAGTAGCTATTAAGCCTGTTAGTCTATCGAGCGGGTGCACGGCTAATATAAATTAACCAAGTTTAAAGCATACCAATACAGTGTTTGTCCCGAGGCCGTGGGTCGACTGTGTCACTCATCAGCAAGGACTGCGGCGAGTCATCCAGGATCCAGAATCAAGAGCACGCTGAATGACTGACTGGTACACGGCGTACTTGTAGCACGAACACCTGGCGTCTTGGAACAGGAGATTGGAACTGAAACATGGCAAGGACTTACGCATAGCAGCTAAGTAATTCGGCCTCGGGAATCCTGAAGCGCGGAAATATAGCAGAAGCACCAAATGCTGAGCTTGTCTGGCGCTTGCACTCGGCGCAGTGACAGATGTACAGCGCCAGCGGCTCAGGCAACGGCGTTTTGAAGCCCACGGCTCCGCATTGGCACCGGGCGTCCATCTTTTCCACGTCGATTGTATGTAGTCGTTACTAGTCAAAACATCTGTTAGGATAGGTATTCCAACATGGACTTTTGCGATTTTGTCGTGATAGGCGTTGGACGTGCAAGCACGGTGGTGTTGTCGGCCGTGAACAGGTACAGTGCGGGTGAAAGATGGCGGGGCGCCTCGGCGGAGAGGCCCTGCTTCGGATTGGATGACTATTAACCAAGTGACAGGTTTAGGGAGAACTATGTTGTAGTTGAGCACGCGCAATACTAAATGAATATCAGGGAAACAATTATGATAAAGATGAAAGAATTCAAGTGTTCAGAAAGTGAGGAAGACGATTGGGATGAATAAAAACAGAAGCATGTTCAGCGAGACCGGAGACTCGATGTCTTGAAAAGGCAAGAGCAGATTACAAGGGTCGCCGTGTTCACTTGTCTATATGTAATGACATGGCCGAGGTGCGGCTGGCTGCACAGTCACGCCTCAGTTCTCAGGTGGCATAACGCTGCACGTTGCCAAGTTCCACCTTGGAAATGGGGCTTGCGCCAACTCAACTAAAAGCACATTGATACATCGAACCGGAGTAAGTGGTATACTGTCTCGTAGCTCTTGTATGAATAACGCTGTCCCGGTGTGTCGCTCTGCCGCTACTTCGCATAGCTAGCGGATCATCTGGACCCGCCTTTGAAAGTTCCAATTTACATGCGGCGTCTTGAGTGTCCCTCCCAGAAGTGAGCAATATGGACAATGAAGATGCAATTACCGTCCAGCTGGTGTGGCATATTTTGCAGGAATTCCGGCCAAAGGAAAAAAAAAACCTAATAACAAAACAAAACAAAATTCACCCGTCGCGATTGATGCACGAAAGGGTTCCGTTTTGACTCGTCGACAGAAAACGGCAAGGCTGCGGTGTAGCCTTTTGATCTCAAGTACGTAAATCTGATAACGATTAAAACATCCATATTTCCGTCTCTTGTTTGGTTCAAAAATTCCGCCGAGGAGTGAGTGGGTATGAACGGGCACTCGCGGCCACGATCGGTCCAGTGACTCCAGTGACTCCAGTGAACCAGTATCGAAATCATGACACCAAAGAATGACGGTTGAAATGGATCGAGAGGGCCGAGTGTCGCAGCTTTCACGCTCTGCAAATGCTAACGTTTCGCATCATGCCCATTCATGGCGACGTGAGTCATCCCCGAGCGAGCGATACTGGCGCGTAGTCACATGGAGTGGCTCTGTTTTCGTTCCTTCCCCACCGGCGCAGCCCATTTTCCCTTCCGTGACATGTGGTCATCTTGGACATTTTGCAAATAATTTCCATTGTTCTCATTGCCCAATGCCGATACAATTTCCTGTATTGCAGTCCAACTGGAGTCCATGGGACAACCCTGAGCATAGACTACGGCGGACCTCGGACATTGCCCATTCATGTATGTAACCCGGACCCTGGATGTCCACAACAGGCCGGCGAAGCAACAAGGGCGAGGACGAACGTGGGATGTACGGAGTGTCCAGTCGTTCAACGAAACCACACAAAGGTCTGAAAAAGTATGCAATTGACAGAAGGGCCTAGCCGCTCACTTTCGCCAATTTGACACCTACTCTTCATCCCGTCTTGTTATCTTTGAGAGAGTTAACATGGCATTTGACACTAGCCACGAGGGCTCTGGAGCCATGTACCCTCAAAGCTGCCTGAAGCTCTCTACACCAATCCAACTTATCTCTATCAGGACATGAAGACGGTGTCACCAGCTCAACTTCAAGCTTTTCCAAGGCTTTCATTTGAGCCAAGCACCCATCGACCACCCATCGCTCAGCGATCCCATCAAGGGCGTCCGGCAAGCGGCTTTTCTCAAACAAGGCATCATTTGAGACGTGAATCAATACTCGCAGACCACGAAAATAGCTCGCCCAATTCGCACTCAGTATTCTCCATCTCTCGAAGCCGCTGTCGTCATGAAAATCTGTTAACTTTGTTTCGATTCTTGCAAATCGCATGGCTCCGGCTTGCCAGGGTTCGAACACGTCAGTCAACAATGATGCCGCTGTAACTAGCCCGGACGAAAACCAATTCTCAAAAACAAACTCGTTGCTGTGGAATGGAATCTCCCTTGCTTCTGCGTATATGTGTCGATTTAGCACGAGGAGATTACTCGGGAGGCAGTTATAGAGCCGGTCTTGGCGGAGAAGAGTGGAAACGCAAATTTCGCGACCCTCTTGTAATAGATTGTCTTTGTCTTCAATCAAGATTGTAGACCGTGGCTGCCGCATAGGGAGGGGATATCCCGTGAGAGGTAAGTTCTTGTGCACCGGGCTTGCTTTATATACCCAGTCGTATATTTGGAGCCGGATCTCCACAGGCAGCGATAGTAGTAAACACGGCCCAGTATATCCATCGGTAGAGCAAACCCGTGATTTACTTGCCCGTTTCTTCAATCGGAGGTCAGGCTTCTTGTATGATGATTTTCCAAACGGCGAAACACGTGCGGACAGCAAAGCAGGCGGTATACTCGCAAATCCAACATCTAAACATCCCAACGATGAACACGAATGTGGACCGGCCATCGTGTGCGATCAAATACACATGGAGCAGGTTTTACTCAAGGGTCGACGAAAGTAGACGAATCGTTGAATGAGGACCCCCTCCTCAAGAACTACCGCGATATTTGCAGTGAGGAGGGCCTTTAAGGCATCAAGGCACAATGGGCGGCCCATGGGATCAATGTCAGCCCTCGGATCGGAAGCCGTCGTCATACTCATGGTCACTGAATATAATCAACCGGCCTTGTTCAGAGTCTGAAGCGGGCTTTCACACACGGCAGACAGCTTTGAGCCACGTCGAGCTGACATCATCCCGTGGCCCGCGCCAGGTATTATTGCAGCCACCAAGTCACACGACATCCGTCAATACCGACGCAGCCGAAGGCCCCGACCTGCCCGTGTTTTGCAATGTAGAACCGTTGTACTGTGGCGCTGGATTGATTCCTGTTGTGACGCTGGGGGATGCATCGGCAAGACTGTTGCTGGTTTTTGCTGCAAATAGTCATCAGGAATGATGCGCGAGATACCTTGCAGAAGCTGTATTCCCAAAATGATCCTCGGCTTTTCAGGCGTTGGCATGAATGTAACACCAAGTCATCTCAACCATGATGTCCCAGGCCGTCCAGAAAATCCCATCATCTACTGCATATCTTTCCAACTGCTTGCTTACCTAGGTAGGCACCTATATGTAGCTAGTGACGCTCATGGGACAACATTATATTCTAACAAGACAGCTTTTTGCTGCTGCACTCCCCCCCTGCATGTCTCCTCGAGGGCTACAGTTCCTCGTAAGTTATAAACATGTCGCTTGCAAAATTCGACGCAATATTCATAAGTCGTGACCCAACATCATGCTCGCTCCAGACTTGCCTTAGCAGAGTCTCGCAGCCTCCTCGCCCTCTTCTCCTAAGACGAAGCGACACCGTCCATTCTCTCAGGCGGTATATTCACACCCTCCAGCCCCCTCTTCACGCCCATCTTGCGCTCAAACTCGACGTTCCGCGGCAGCTCAAAGTCCCCCCTCGCCCCAAACCACAACAGCGTCTCCGGCTCCGGCCCTCTGGGCACCATATTGCCGCCCCCCTCACCGTCCTCATCCTCGTCCTCATCCTCATCCGCCTCGTCCTCGTCCTCGTCGCTCTCATCAAGACCCCTCCTCAGCCCCGTGCGAACACTGTCCACCCCTGCCTCCCTCTCCTCACGGGTATACACATCGCCCGCCTCATCGCGCACGTAGGCCGCAATCCGGCCCTGCGTCCACTCCCGCAGCTCGTCCCAGATCGCCTGCAGCTCCGCGACCCCCTCTGGCGTCGCGAGCCTCGCCGTCTCGCGCCCCTCGGCAACCAGCTCCTCCACGTCGGGCTCCAGCTTCTTGCGCAGCAACTGCGTCAGGATATTCTCCTGCGTCCGGCCGGGGTAGTTGGTCGACGGGTGGATGACCATTCGCGTAAACAGCTCCGCGTTGTCGTTGAGGCTCTCGAGGACGGACTGCAGGTTGCGCTGCAGGATCTGCGCAGAGGCCTGGAGGGACGAACTGTTGCCCGCTGCGGGTGAATATACGTGCACGTGAGGTTTCTGGGACATGATGGGCGCTGCGAGACGTACGGGTGCGGCAGGGGATTGCTTTTTAGAATGTCCATCTTTAGGCTCTGGATGCTGCTGGATAGTTGGGCTAGCCTTGCGACCGTGTGCTCCACGGACTTGAGCTCGTCTTCGTCCAGCGCCAGCGTCGCCATGGTGAATGTAGATACCGCCAGATAAAAGGCCGGTGAATGTCAATTGGAGAATAGAGGTTAGTAGCGCGCTGATTGCTCGCACATGTGTTGTGAGGAAAGCTGTGGGGAGGTGGATCAATGTCGTCGCAACTGCGGGGACCCACATGGTTTTTTGAGTACAAAGCTACTTATTTCGTACTCCGTACTGAGCATTTGCTATGCAGCGCCAAACTCTGGAGAACTGGGCAAAAGCCCTTCTATTTTAAAAAAGGAGAGGGTGAAACGTGATAAGTTGTGACCAAGAAACAATTTTCCTGAGTGTTAATGTGCTAATTTTTGGTTGCTACATCCCAATCTTGACTAAGCATAAACACGCCGAACACCACAGGCTAATTCGCGTTGGGTACCATCTTTGAAAAAAAAAATCGCATTTAACTCCTAAATGGCAATATCCATACATAACATACTGTCCGAGTTCATATCAATCATTCCAATGGCTGAGTAATAACTACCAGTTTCATAATAACATCATATCAGCATTTTGGACTTCGCAAAATTGATGCCCACCTGACCTGTTTCCTTCAGCTCAATTACGAGTTGAGTTGACCGCTTTGGAATCGTACCCGTTACTGTCCACAAAGGGGAAACGAGCACGGCGCTCAAGAGCATCCAGAGGGATAGTGGAGCGAATATACCTGGCTAGCCGTTAAAACGATGATTCTTGTCCGATGATTGTTGACTGGCGTACTGCCCAGCCCAATATCACTTACTTCATTCTACCATCATCTAAGGGATCGAAATCCCAGCTTGTGAATGCGCCTTCTTTAAGGGCATCCCAAACAACGCGACGGCTTCGCTGAGACTGGAGAACCTGGGCTGTGATGGCGTCAAAATCCCACTTAGCCTTGGCCTCTGCGTCGTATTTTTCGAACAGCGCTTTAATTCCTTCTTCTTCAGCATTCTGTGGTGCAACCCTCACCAAGCGTGCCAAATTGTCAAGTTCTTGGGGATCCCGTTCCAAATTGTAGAACTGTGGCTCGTCGGCCGGGCAAGTGATATACTTCCAAGGTCCACGGCGGATCATCATCATTGGTCGGACAGTGCCTTCGCCAGTGTATTCAGCAAAGACAGTGTCATGGCCTTCCCTATTCTGAAGATGGGGTAACATGCTAAGCCCGTCCATGGGCAGATACGGAGCAGGCTTGGTGCCAATTAGATCGCAAATAGTTGGGAGCAGGTCAAGCGTTGACACATTTTGGCTGACGCGGTGAGGTTGGAACCACTTCGGGTAGTTGACCAGTAGAGGGACTCTAACAGATGACTCGAAATAGCTCATCTTGTACCACAGACCTCGCTCGCCCAACATGTCGCCATGGTCGCCACTGAAAATGATGATGGTGTTCTCGGCCAAACCAGCGTCTTCAAGAGTTTCGAGAAGTTTGCCAATGCAATCGTCCACGTAGCTGACGGAGCCGTAGTAGGCGCGCTTGGCTCTCTTAATTTGTTCGTCAGAAAAGTCCTGGTCCCAGAGGTCGCAGACTTTCAGTAAACGCTTGCTATGAGCATCGAGCTCCTCTTTGGGAATGCGGACCTTGGGCAGCGCAATATCTACGTCCTCATAGCGGTTCCAGTATTGCTTAGTGATGGTGTAAGGGTCGTGAGGATGAGTGAGAGAAACCTATATATAGAGAGAAATGTGTCTGTTAGCGTTGTCATAAAGGGCAAAAGACTTATCTGTTCCCTCAAGCTCCTTTCCAGCACTTGACTCTTTTTGGTAGCTCGCCTCATGTTGTCCGTTTGCGGGCAATGTGAACAATAAAGATCTTGCTTCGCCTGCAAAAGGGCCATCCTACTACCTATTTAAATATTCACTTACCGTCAAAGCAAACGGGCGCTTCTCCGGGCCTTCGCGGACGTGGTCCCACAGATACTGAACGCTTCGATACATGACCTCCTCATCATAATCCAGCTGATTGCTACGACCACAAGGGCCTGCCTGTAGAATTGAACTGGCATTGTGATACCATTCTAGACGACTATCGGGTTCATCCCAGTTGACGGCCCAGCCAAAATCCCCGGGGTAGATGTCGCTCGTAAGACGCTGCTCATATCCATGAAGCTGATCCCCGACAAAGTGCATCTTACCTGCCAGAGTTGTGTGGTAGCCCTTGGAACGGAGATAATGGGCATAGGTAGGGATCTCGGAGTTGATTTGAGAGGCATTATCATAAGCGCCGATCTTCATGGGCAAAAGACCTGTGATCATACTCATTCGGGAGGGGGCGCACAACGGGGAAGGACAGTACGCAGAATCAAACTGTACAGAGGTGGCAGCGAGGCGGTCCAGGTTTGGCGTTTTGATCTGTGATTCTGGATTATACATCTTGAGCTGAGGGGCAGCCAGCTGATCAGCCATGATGTAGAGAATATTGGGTTTCTCAGCGCTGCCCCTGGGAAGAGGTGCCGTCGTTTGAATGGTGTTGATATCGGGAGCCATGTTGAAATGATTGGAATAGCCTATTATTCGAAAGGGTCTTTTAGGTCAGAATCTCTCAATCCCCCCGCGGTGCTCTCAGCTAGCTCTTTGATCACTGGTGCTGTTGTCTCTGAAGCTGCGGTCTTCTACTCATTAGTTCTTTGGAAGATTCACTTCAAGGATTGGCGGCTGGAACCAGCAGGAAATAGGTGTAAATCCGGAAAGGGAGCTCTCGTGATGTAGATGGCGACCAATACAGCAGAGGAGACTATATGACAACTCAGAGCAGAGCGCCACACAGAAAGAGGAAAATGGTGAGTTCTCTGATAAAAGGGTAGGTACGGAGTACAGCTACTGCGTTCCCTCCCAATTCCTCGACGTCCTTTCCACTAAAGGAAAAAAAAACAAGAGACCCCAAAAGAATAAAACTCAAAGGTAACAAGAAGACTGAAGTTCGGGCGGCAAGAATCTCAGTCCTTCTTACAACGGATGTAAATACAGACAGTGCTCCAATGTTTCGAATTAGCTCAAAAAAGTAGTCCAGTACAAGAAACAGTAATAGTAATAGCAATGCGTATGCGACAAGAACGACAGGATGCCAACAAAAGCAGGAGAGAGGTGTGGGAGAGACACCGGGGCATTTATACTCTCTGTCTCTTCTCCCTTTGCCAACCCGCCACTCGAGTGGGAGCATCTCGCCGCACCCGGGGTCGTGGGCCTTTCCACCAACTCAGTTCCAACACGGCGGGAACCCAAAGGGGGGAGGGGCAAATTCAATCCATTGCGGAGCCGGCTTTCGGGCGGGAGACATTGAGGTCCTTGGTGTGAGAAGGTGACTGATGGCCATGCCCGCGTGTGCAACCCCAGCTAAAAAGCATGTTGCTGAACGTATCCTGGGCATCCTGGGCTCCATCTATGCAAAGTAAAATGCAATAGGTGAAGGGTTCATGCCTCCAACGGGGCTTAGCTTGAATACGATGTGGTCTGGATAGTTGTCTTGCTACTGGTGCCCACCCCCGGCTTGAGACTCAACTCTCAATACGTATCACGTATTGTTGTCAACGCTGGTCCTTGACGAGTTTCGCGGTCTCGAACGGCTGTCCTAGTCAGGCTCTGACATCTGGCTGCCGCCTCTGACGCCATGATTGGAACCTCATTCCCCAGGAGAAATGAATGAACCGAGAACGCCATCAACAGCTGACCAACAGCCCCAACCCTGGAAGGTGGTCACATGGTGCCTCCCCAGCCAACTCGCACACAAGGCAGCAAATTGGGCATCGGAAATTTCGGCGGTGTGAACGACTCAACGACCCTCGACTGCGCTTGGCATTTCATAAAGAGGGAGGGCAGCAGAGGCGTGTGTGAGCTGGGGGTTCGAGAAGCCACAATACGCTTGTGGAACTACTGCTTTGGGCGTCGACCTTGACTTGGTTGGTCCATGACTTTTTAGCGCCGGACAATGATGGTATGAAGCACAACCCTGGAACTGGGATTAGCAGCAGGACAGGGCCGGTTCTTAAATCTCCTTGGCAGACTTGTGGATAGACCCCAGGTACGGCTCGAAGTCGTTCCAATCGGGTGTGCTCCGTACTGCCAGACAGACGGTAGTTCTGGCATTCGGGGCTGCGAAATCAAAGGGGCTGGTGTTGACGCAGTGGTGCCGTCCGTGACATCTGGATTGACGCGAAAGAGAGGCAAAGGACAATAATGTACAATATGTGGTGGGCACGAAATGGTGTGGGCGTGGCATGGCTGTTGTCAGGTTAGTGTTATTCCTATCCGAGTTGTTCTTGTGGTGGACTGAAGTCGTCGAGTGTCGAGGGTTTCCCCACGTACAAAGCATGTATGTACTACAAAGTGCGGTGCGGCTGGGAAGGAACATCCAGCCAGTGCCTTCCTGGCTTGTGTGCGACGAGCTGGACACTCTGACACCATCATGGACCGACCCCTTTTGTTGCATGTGGATTTCTGCCATGCAAGAAACTCTGCACTAGCATACGCTAGCAAAACTGTCATTGCTCCCTCTTCTCGCCGTCTTGATGCCGTCATCCAGCGATGTCGACATCGCCTTGACGGATGGCACCATGGCTGCTAACGCTCCCTTTTCCGTGTCAGCGCCTAATCTAACGTCAATACTTAAAGTACGGGGCGGATTGCGGAGCACGCCAGAGCCGACAACTGGTTCAATCTCGTTCCCACTTCAATGAGACATCCATTGGCAATGACACCCGGTCTCAAGTGCTCCTTTATTTTCAACGAACAAACGACACGGCGACTAGGGCTCAGATGTCCAAACACCACCGAGACAAGCACGAGAATTGCACCTCTCGCATAATACTGCAGCATGCATAGATGGGCGCCTTGTCCCAAAGGACCCACGAGCCAAACAAGCCAGCGCTAAACAGCACCACATGCAAATACACCCTTGAACCATTCATGACACAAGGAGATCAACAACCACCCTGCCTGCCAGCTTTCTATCGGGTTTGGCAACCAACCACCACCCTCGACACGCTCGCCTCACCATCGCAGATATGCCGGCTTTACGTAAATCTCCCCAATACTAGTTAATGATGAGCGTGACCGAGCCGCCCGATATCCGTAGATACGGATGATTGCCGGGCACTTTGATCAAGACAGCTTGGAGATGTCAATGTTGGACAACAATCTCAGGCATGAAAACTTGGCAC